TAAAGGCTTACATGGATTGCTCCTCGTAGCCCCTGATTTTAGCCTCCCTGTGCTGAAACTGCCTCTATCGCCTAATCTCACTCATTTGACGGTCTGCACCAATGACGTCGAGACGATTACCAATGCTGATTTGGTATATCTATGCTCTAAGATGCCCAACCTTGAAGAATTGGGTTTAATCCCGGTAGAGGTCGACAGAAATGATGATCCTCCGGGACTAACGCTGGAAGTCATACGGTCAATTGCGGGCGTATGCCCTCGTCTCGAGCGCGCTTCGTTGTATATTAATACGGACGTTTCGGGTATTCAATTCTCCTTCGACGACCCTCCTTTTCCTTCGAATCATCCACTTTCTACGCTATCCTTCGTGCCATCTTCAGTCCGGAATCGCTCCGAGGTGGCAACGTATCTGTGCACTGTGTTCCCGGACGCTCGACGTGCACCGATGATCATGGCACCAAGAGTCAGTTTTGTTCAGTATTTCGATTGGGATGGGCCGTATCATGATGCTCGTGAGGATCCTGAGGAGGAATGGGAATGGGAGTGTGTCAAGGAGTTTATGGATACGCTCAGGAGGCGAGTCGTCCCTTTTTTCCGGAGTCGATTGGAACAGAAGGATACAGAATTGGAGGCGTTACGGAAGAAACCCTAGTCTCCACCGCCGGGGAAGGTGTAATTGAAGCGCGGTTCCTGATGTCCGAGTTCTTTTTCTTTTTTTTTTTTTTGGTGGCCATAAAGAGTTTTAACAGGAGTTGATGGTGGTAGGTACTCTTGGAGTGCGGGGTGAAACACCATGAAGCTTTTAAGTTTCTCCTTCTTATTTATTTCGCTGAGCTGGAGCCCGAAATGCTCATGCCCATTTTCTTTCTCACTGTGTCATTCTTGTTCCCCCTTTTCCCAGCATTGCCTCGCGAGCTCGGTAACTCATCGATCACACCCGCGCGCAGAACTTGCCAAAGTATTCTCCCACAACCAGTGGATGTATGTGAATACCTACAATATTATTTTTGTTGACACTTCCACCAAAAAGACTGCGAAGAAATGGGTAGGTGAATACGTACACCTAACTCCGCTACACAAGGTCCTCTTGAAGATTGTGTCACGGTGTCCAGTACCCCTTTCGGGTCTGCCTTGGTTCCAAACCACTAAATCACTAGTGGAAGCCCGCTCACCTTCGGTCTTTATTAAAGCCTTAGCGGTACAAACAAGCATCTGAACCATCAGGTGGAAATCAAAAAACGAATCGGAGATATTCATCAATCCGGGAGCTTGTGTTTGCGCATGCAGTCAATGGAATGGGCTGAAATAGCAGAATTGGAATATTGTAGACCTAGGGCCGCGCGGTACAAATCATGTTTTGGTGACTATACTCTTGAACGCAGCTGGGGGCATACAGAATATGATGAATTAAACGTAAACGTGCCATCGTCGTTCGTTAACGAGGCAAAATATAAACCATAAAGGTACACATGAAGGTCCAACCTGCATGGTTGGGAGGTTGAATCGAAAGGAAGCCATAGTGTGAGAATCGTGAGATTGGAATAAGGAGAATGCACAAACTGTGTTAGTCAAACTCGTACTCACGGGGAGCCGACAGGGTGTGTCAAGTCTGAGCTAGCAAAGTTATAACCGATCCAGTGGGTACGTTAATAATTAAATAAGTCTAGATCGTATTGTGCAGTCCGTCAACATAATTGATCTAAAATAGTGCTGGCAATCAGCTTCGACAGCGTTCGAACTAGCTTGGCAGTATAGTCGGCAGCCTCTCTGATAACTGTGCCTGAGAGCGCGAGGTTTCCGATGTGCTAACTCAACATAATCGAAACCTCCAAGGTGCTTTCCAAATACGACGTTAAGATTTGTAACAGCGAGGGTTCAGAATGAGTCGCCCCAATAACCCACTTGGCAGCGATCCCATTGTCTCAACCACCGGTGCTAAGTGGGCCGGAAAACTTGCGAGAACTGGAAATGGAGCGGGAAACTGGAGCGGGAAACTGGAGCGGGAACTGAGAACAGGAGAGGGGACGAGAGCGGGGACGAGAGCGGGAACAGAGGGACTTGAAGATGGGTTTGAAAGGCGGCCATCAAGACCTGGCATTGCACCATTGCTGTTGCGGCATATTCAGCAAGATCTGGAGTGGGCAGAGTCAGATAAGCGCTAGGAGTGGTGTCAGGCCAAGGGACATCAGGTGCAGAAACGAATGGAGGTTGCGCGAGATCCATGAAAGACAGGAAGACTGGTCTCCGGAAGGATTGTTGTTGGTGAGCTGGTCAAACTGTCAAGGGCGTGCAGCGCTTAGGTGTGAGAACCGGAGCAAGACGCAACGCGGACAAGAACTCGAGCAAGAAGAAGTCGAGAAAGGAATGAGAATAAGCAGGTGACCTGTGTTGACCAGCTGAAGAGTCCGTCTTCAGGTGCCGGTTATCGTCTTATATGATGAGGACTAAAACAAGAGCTACATGGGCAGAAGTGAGAACAGAAATTGTGCAGGAGCGTTGGTTGGGGGTTGGGTTGTTTCTGGTTGTTTTGTTTGGTTGGTTGGGGTTGGGGTTGGTTCATGATCAAACGGTTACGGCTGAACCGTCACACGTGGGCGGTCGCGAAAGTGGAGGTTACCAGGTCCATCCTTATTTTCAGCCGAACTTGCCTCCTCTTGCACGGCGCAAAGATTGACGGGACCCGCTTACGGAGTCAGCGAGAATCAGGATTAGGAAGGTGGAGTTCACATTTCTGAATTGCGATCGCCTAGGCAAGTTTGCTCTATTCCAATAGAGGCTGGTAACCTGCCTACAAGTTTGCTACCATGTGCGGCGGAAGGGTTGAAGTACTAGTTCTGATCAAGTTTTGAGTCGAGCCCCCCGCAAGATAGAGTGTATGCCCCAACTACTACATCAGGATGGACAACCCCCACAACATTGCGTTGGAGGGCCAAACGCCCGCAATGCCCCGAGCCTTACAGCTCTTGGACATTTTGGCTGTGCTGTTTGATTGCTGTCCTAATACAACTCTGGCGTCAGCGGCGCAAACTTGTAAATTATGGTGGATCCCGGCTCTGCAACGCTTGTGGCGAGTGCTTGATACTCCATTGCCTCTCCTTCTGCTGCTAGGGAAGACTGATCGGTGGGATACCCGTAGGTATGTTTCCAATGTGAGTGTTTCGTGGTACTATTGCCATGGGTGAATATGAACGCTAACTACTTTGATGTGTAGAGTATGGATTTGGACGCACTACCAAGAGTCCAATTTTATGCACAATTTGTTCAGTGTATCTCCGTTCGTATTAGCCGCCGTAGCGACATTCATCTCAAGCTGCTGAGCGAGTTTACCCAGGTGGTGCAGTTTTTGCATCCACATCTTTTCCCGCATCTCACCTCTTTGGATCTCACCTCTTTGGATTGCTACTCTAATGGGCCACAGGCAATCCAGATTGCTTGCGCTTGGCTTGTCACATGCCCTCCCAAGATCTCACTCTCTTTCCTTGACTCTCAATGTCCTTCAGTCATTCGGTCGCTCATCCATCACGGCGCCTCCTTGACATCCCTCAGTCTGCACATCGACATGATCTCACGAGCTAATGGTGCCGTCGAAGAATGCTTTGTGAGCTCATTGAAGCCGCTGGTCAACCTCGCTTGCTTGACTGCAGACCAGTGCATTCTTTTTACCTCAACCGTATGGACTTGCATTGCCCAACTCCCCAACTTAAAGGAAGTCCACTCACCAAAGTTCGTCGAGGAGGAATCCGGCGCCGACGCACCCGATCCCTCGACCTGGCATAGTCTCGAACCCTCCACATTCGATACTCCATTCCCATCTCTTCACACTATCGAGATGGCCGTCCCGTCTCAGTTAGCGGTAATCGTTCTAGGGTATTATCCCTTAGATGGCGTACGTTTTCTCAGACTGCTACTGACGGACGACGAGATCGATCCACCAACAGAGCAGTCGCTAATCCAAATAGTCACAATATGTAAAGGCTTACATGGATTGCTCCTCGTAGCCCCTGATTTCAGCCTCCCTGTGCTGAAACTGCCTCTATCGCCTAATCTCACTTATTTGGTGGTCTGCACCAATGACGTTGAGACGATTACCAATGCTGATTTGGTAGATCTATGCTCTAAGATGCCCAACCTTGAAGAATTGGGTTTAATCCCGGTAGAGGTCGACAGAAATGATGATCCTCCGGGTCTGACGCTGGAAGTCATACGGTCAATTGCGGGCGTATGCCCTCGTCTCGAGCGCGCTTCGTTGTATATTAATACGGACGTCTCGGGTATTCAGTTCTCCTTCGACGATCCTCCTTTTCCTTCGAATCATCCACTTTCTACGCTATGCTTCGCGCCCTCCCCAGTCCGGAATCGCTCCGAGGTGGCAGCGTATCTGTGTACTGTGTTCCCGGACGCTCGACGTGCACCGACGATCATGGCACCAAGAGTTAGTTTCCAACAACATTTCAGTTGGGGAGGGCCGCATCATCACGATCCTGAGGAGGAATGGAAGTGCGTTTCGGAGTTTATGGATAAGCTCAGGAGGCGAGTCATCCCTTGTTTCCGGAGTCGATTGGAACAGATGGGTGCAGAATTGGAGGCGTTACGGAAGAAATCCTGATCTTAGCCGCCCGGGGAGGGATAATGAAGTGGGTTTCTGGCGTCCGAGTTCTTTCTTTTGGAGGCTATAAAGAGTTTGGTGATTAACAGGACTGTTGCACGTACTCTGGAGATGCGGGGTGAACACCATGAAGTTTTTAGGTTTCTCCTTCGGATTTATTTCGCCAAGCCGGAGCCTGGAATGTTCAAGTACACGTTGTACCCATTTTCTCCCCACTGTGCGATTTTTTTGTTGGTATCGGACATCCGAAACACCCCTCCTTCACACACCATTACACCTGCTTTTGGTTCCCCCTTTGCCTAACATCGCCTCAGTCCCATTTACAGTAAACACACAAACTTCTCGTGCTGCTTCCCACGGGCATACCAGTGCGCATGTGAATACCTATAATGTCAACACTCCTAACAAAATGAATGAGATCAAAGAAGTGGAGCTTCGCATACCTGGTAACCTGCCTAAGGAGGAGAATCCCCACGGCCTCGTTATCACGTGGCAGTGCGGCTATCCCATCCGGGTGCCTAGTGGGTACATGAGGATACGGGTGTGTTGTCGTCGGGGTTATAACCTGCCTAAGCTTCCGGGTGGTGGAGCCCTCTCGTCCCCAAAGGATGAGCCTTGAGGCTACGGTCCAGTGAACACAACCCCAGCACCCCTTTAGGGTGAACCTTGGATCCAAATCACTAAAGAATGCCGCATATGAGACGCACCAACACCACATTCGCGAAAGGCCAAACGGGTGTGATGCCTCGACCATTGCAGATCTTGGACATCTTGACGGTTTTGTTCGACTGCTGCTCTAACGCAACTCTGGCGTCAGCAGCACGAACTTGCAAATTATGGATGATCCCGGCTCTGCGACGCTTGTGGCGAGTACTTGACACTCCAGTGCCTCTCCTTCGGCTACTAGGGAGCGTCGACAACGCTGACTCCCTTTTTTATGTGAGTGTCTCGTGATGATATTTTCTATGGGTGAGTATGAATAGTATCTACGTTGATGTGTAGAGGCTGTCTACGGTAATGGATCTTGAGGCACTACCAAGAATCCAATTTTATGCAAAATTTGTTCAATCCATTACTGTCGTTATCGGGGACTGGTCCAATCACATCCATCCCGAACTGATGGACGAGTTTACCCTGGCAGTGCAGTTTTTGCATCCACATCTTTTCTCGCATCTCATTTCTTTGGATTGCTATCTCTATGGATCACGGGCGATCAGAAGCGCTGGGATTTGGCTTGCTGTGCGCTCTCCAAAGATCTCATTATCCTTCCGTGGCCCTCCGGATGCAACCTGTCTCCCACTCATTCGATCGCTTTGTCACCACAGTGCCTCCTTGACATCCCTCAGTCTGTACATCGGCGAAACTTCAGGATTTCGTGAAGCCCTCAACGAGTGCTTTGTGAACGCATTGAAGCCGCTGGTTAACATTGTTTCCTTGACTGCAACCGGGGGAATCCTTTTAACCCCGACCGTATGGACTTGCATTGCCCAACTCCCCAACGTAAAGGAGGTCCGCTCACCCTCCCCTCGGGGATTCGACTTCCGCTACTCGGCCTGGCATGATTTCGGCCCCCCCGCGTTAGATACTCCATTTCCCTCTCTTCACACTATCGAGATGGCTATCCCGTCACAGCTAGCAGTAATCGTTCTGGGGTATTATCCTCTGAGTGGCGTGCGTTTTCTCAGACTGCTACTGACAGACCCCGAGGTTGATTCGTCAACAGAGCAGTCGTTAATCCAGATAGTCACAATTTGTAAAGACTTACATGGATTGGTCATCCTGACCCCTTATTTCAATCTCCCTGTACTGAAACTGCCTCTATCACCTGATCTTACCCAACTGCTGGTCTGCACTGGAGGCATTGAGAGGATTAACAATGCTGATTTGGTGGATCTATGCTCAAAGATGCCCAACCTTGAAGAATTGGGTTTATTCCCGGTACATGTCCATAGAAATCATGACCTTCCAAGTCTAACACTGGAAGCCATACGGCCAATCGCGAACGAATGCCCTCATCTTAGGCGTGCTTCGCTGTACATCAATACAGACGTCTCGGGTGTTCAATTCCCCTTCGACGACCCTCCCCTTCCTTCGAATCATCCACTTTCTGTACTAGGTTTCTCGCCATCTCGGGTCCGGGATCGCTCCGAGGTAGCAACGTATCTGTGTGCTTTGTTCCGGGATGCTCGACGTGCACCGACGATCACGACACAGGCAATTACTTTCGATGAACATTTCGAATGGGAAGGGCAATATTACAGGGATTCCAAGGATTCTGAGGTGGAATGGGGAGACGTTGTGGGGTTTATGGACACGCTGAGGAGGCGGGTCATCCCTTCGTTTCAAAGTCGATTGGCACAGAAGGATGCAGAACTGGAAGCGTTACGGAAGAAATCCTGATCTTAGCCGCCGAGGGTTCCTGGCGTCCGAGTTTTCTCTTTTGGAGGTTATAAAGAGTTTGGTAATTAACAGGACTGTTGTACGTACTCTGGAGATGTGGGGTGAACACCATGAAGTTTAGGTTTCTCCCTTGTGCCAAGCCGCAGCCCGGAATGTTGAAGTACACATTGTACCCATTTTCTTCCTGATTATTTTTGTCGGTATCGTCTGCTGCGACATCCGAAACCTCCTTCCTTCGCACACCATTACACCTGCTTTTGACTCCCCCTTTGCTGAACATTGCCATCGATCACACCCGCAGGACTTGCCAAAATACCTTGACCTTATTTATAGTAAACACCCACTCAAATTTCTCATGCTGCTTCCCATGGGCATTGCTCCTCAACCAGTTACTCTGCACCAGAGTCACTCAACGTACCGATATTAGTAAATTTCTGACACTGAAACCGCTGAAATTACGTGATGTTATTTCCTTTTTGGTCATTCTGTGTAACGCTTTGTACGTCATTCGCTTTCCTCTTTTGTGTCTCACATCACGTTTCCTTTCTTTCTTCTTTCTGCTTTGCGGTGTTGGCCGACTATACATATTTGTCTATTTGTCCCCCTTGCTTTACTTTTACATTCTTTACCATGTGGTCTCTTTCTTTTTTCTTTGATCTTCACTACATAACAATTCCCTTCCATTACCAGTGTTGTATGGACCTGGTCCCAAATGGTCCCAAAGACCAAAGTCCGTGAGTCTGACTTAATGGTCTCAAGTCTCTCTCATGGTCCATGCAAGTCAGACTTTTCGATGGGAAATCCCGATATTCAAAGCCTTATGCAATGTAAATAAATGTTCTCACGCTAGACTACAATCTGTATTTACCTTGCTTGCAAGGTCATTGCCAGGTCATAATTGCCATGGGAAATATGTAACTATTGCAAATTCCTATGAACACATCACATGTTTTGACATTTGACCTCCGTTCCATCCTCACTCGGTTGTGACCAACGAGAATCAGGCATTGCTTACCCATAGTCAGGTTTCCTCGCGATCTGTGGGACCTTCTGACTCCTAAAATCTCGAACCATGCCTCCAATGGAGCCCAGCACACCATACATTGACTTGCGAAGTAAAAATTGGACTACCCAATCTGAATGGATGCGATGATGGTAGCGACAACGAATCAGGTTTGCTCCGTTAATCTGCTTGGTGTGTGAGCTGATAATATCCACATCTGAGATAACATGTTCAAGGAGTGAAGGTGGTGAACGAATCCATTACATGCATACCACGAGGGGATCCAAGGTGTCATTCCCCCTACGGAGTATGCGACTGCTCTTCCCAGAGCAACTGTCCAAGTTTCTTTCATGCTGGCATGTCATTTGATAGGAAGTAATGCCGGGAAGAAAGCGACTTTTGTGTGGAGATAATTGTTCTGAGGGACCCCCCTTGTCAGCGACCATGCAGAGAGTGGCTCTCCCTCCAAGCGGCAATTCTCTGGACCATCTTTCTCTCCCATTAAATGCCAAAAGGCAGAAATAATGTGAGAAGGTATGTATCACTTGTCCCAACCACCTTCACCACTAAATCTTAGACCAGACATCTCATTGTTTTCCGATGTCCTTTTTGTGATTCAACTCAACATTCTGTTCTTTTTTTTGTGTCTGTTAACTACTCTGAGTTAACTCAGTTCCATCATTCACTACTAAGCGTTGTGAACTGACAGAGATCGTGCAACAAGAATGCAAATATTAATATACCAGCAAGCACTACTCGTGACTATGATCAAAAAATTTTCACATGAAGCAAGGTCATGGTTGCAAAGCAACCTTTCTAGTGATGGAGCTAGGATGGAGTATTGGCGAGAACGCATGTAGTTAAATCCGTTAGTCCATTTTAACTCCGTTGGCTCAGACCCCAGACCCCCATGACTTTGACTCGGTCTTGTGCAACACTGTCCATTACTCCCCACTCCTTTTCCGCTCCCACTCGACTTTGGTTTTCCTGTTAAGCCATTCTAACTGCTTATCTTCCTCCTCTAGCACTTCACATGGTGTTGTTGTAAACAACGAATCTTTAAAGTCACATATCAAGCAGATGTTCGCTCGCCCTCTTGCATGTGATAGTGTCACATACACATTGAATGGTGTCAATGCTCCCCTAGGTGTGCCAATGTCTGCCCACAAATACTCAATCATCTGTCTTTGTGCCCAATAGTCTGTGAATGCATATGCCAAATCGATTGTGATCTGGCGACATTGCACTTTCTTCTTTTCATTAACTCCCTCCCAGGGTTTCATTGAAGTCTCCTCTGGATGATTATGCTGGTGAATGAGACCTAGAATTGTTGATATTGGCGCAAATGGCATTCGTGAGACCATCAAAAACTCGCCAATGATCAAGTACTCTTTCATGCACCAGGTTCATGCCAGCTCTTCGATTTTGGCTTTCTTGCACCATGCACACTCAATCTGAAAATGTCAGGGCTCGGTCCTCGATCAGGGACAGCCCGACCTCAGGCCTAGGTGTGTGTGGTGTTCCAGGTGGTTGGGCGCTAGACCCGGTCCTTAGCTCCTCAAACTCACTGAAGGGACTAAGCGGGGATTGAGTTGTCATGTATTACAGAGGGTAACTACAACTTGCCTAAGCGGGGATTGAGTTGAGAAGAAGGGTAAGTTTCCCTATTCCCCGCTTGGCTACTATAAAAAGGAAGTGTACTGTACAGTTCATAACATGACTCCGGGTAGAAGCCGAGCATGTTCCCGCAACTCGGAAAAGGTGTCACATGGGTTAAGGCGAGTTGCTCGCCTTAACCCACGTGATTTTTCCCGCGGGCTCACATGCGGGCTGAAGTTGTGAGAGGTATGTAGGAATGGGGAGGTCTGGGAAGGTGGTTCTGGGGTGTGGTTGGGTGCCCTGACAGCGGGGTCAGGGGCCGATCCCTGACAGAAAAGAACATGTAATGTCTTCCTGCCGATCAGACTGGTGGCTATTCCAGTTTGACTGCGCCATTTCTAACTGCTTCAACGGAGAAGGTGCATCACTCAGCAAATGGTCCACGTTCAGTTTGGCCACTTCTGTTGGATATGTCCACCAGAAGTGGCCAAAGTGCCCAAAGTGCCCAAAGCAAAATAAACCAGGTCCCTCCAATTCAATTTCAGGGCTAAACTCAATGGCTCCAAGCACAATTCCCACAGTTGTATGGCTCAAAACAATTAAGTTTGGTCCTGAAATTGAATTGGAGGGACCTGGTTTATTTCACTTTGGGCAGTTTGGCCACTTCTGGTGGATATGTCCACCAGAAGTGGCCAAACTGAATGTGGACCATTTGCTGATGATGCTCTGGCCATCGAAGATCACTACGTGCCTCTCACAGTTTGGACACTTACTGTATGTTGCCAAAGGCTACTTTGACCTTTACTAACGCTGTTGAAGACTGGCCCATTCAAAGGGATTCATGACGCTTCTGACGAATATTCCATCAATCACAAAGAAATGAGTTTGTATGATGAACCTCTGAAACCGGGCGATGTCGTTGCTGCTGACTGCAGCCTTGAACTATTTTTGGAAAAAAGTTCAGGCTTAGACAAATCAGGTTTCAAACTCGTCGGAATTAGTTTCATTTGTGAGGGAGATCCTCCAGTTACAGGTGTCTCTTTGTTGGGTTCCTCCCCTTCGAAGAAAAAACTGTTGGAGGAACCGTGTGCTATGGGAGGCCGGACGAGTTTCCGTACAGCCACATTCCTACATCCGAGCGAGGAACTCGCCCGGACAGCCACATTCCCGCGGTAGCGTGACTACTTGGTCACAACACCTTTTCTTCTTACTTATTTTGGTTATTTCGGACTTATCCACGAAGTCCACAAACTATATTCAATCTTTTGAATTAGTTTCCCTTTTCCTCAGTTCTCGCGCATATAGTGAGACTGAGGTTAGTTATCTTTCTTTCTTTCTTATATCTTATAACTCATTGTATATTACCTTATAGCTTTACTACTAGGTAATATAATAGTTCTCGCACATATAGTGAGACTGAGCTTTACTACTAGAGCAAGCGGTTATTCCGTTAAAAACTCTGTAAGTACCTATGTCACCTCTATGGATCTTCACTAAAAGATTATCTCGCTGTTTACAGAACCTTTGTCTTGTCTTCCACCTTTTGTTGTGTCTCCTTTCTCGTTTGCCTGGGGCTTGACTCTGCCCCTTCATTTTCTTGTACCCTTTCTTGTCCACTGTATTGTTGCAATTTGACCACATGTGACACGGTGCAGAGTCCAACAAGCAAAGCAAGCTCTAGTGGATGTATTCCCTTCAAATGAGCTTGCGCATGTCAGAATGTCAACACTTTCTACCAAAAAGAATGAGATCAAAAAAAAAGCAATTGTGTCACGTTATCAAACCACTGGAAATGGCTGCTTCGCCACCATGACCTTGCTTGTGACAACATTTTGCTTCCTAATGTTACTGCAGCCATCTGTGTATAAATACCAAAATTGCTATCTTATTTGGGTGCTTTAACCATTTGGTCAAGGAATGCATACCGTGGTTTTAAATATATTACAGCCGATTCCAAAAATCGGCCATTTTGATTTCATCAAAAGAGATCTAGGAGGGTTCTTCCTTCCTAAAAAAGTTGGCCAGATCACGCCCCACGAAAGGGGTTTCCTTACTTGGATGGATCCGCTTAGCGCCGGGGTCTCACTGCATCCCCACTCTCGTGCGCGACACTATGGCAAGCTCGGGTTTCCGGACTCGCTCACGTTATCCTCAAATTCAAGCCCTCCACACACACGCGCGCGCCGCATCTTCCAGTGATGCATATCGATTCAGACTCAGATGAAGGGTTTGATGAAGGATTGCGCGAAGTCAGTCAGGAAGAAAAGCCTGATGATGAGCTTGATTGGGACTTGTTTTGAGGACTTCTCACATGTATATACAAGTCCTTCCATGCTCTGAGCATAGCTTAGCCCTCATGTGCAATGAACAAAAAGTCTGGTGACGTTGATACACAAAATTCGGACTTGTTTTTGAGGGCATGTACGCAAACACAATGTTTTTTAGAGGGGATTCCACGGTACCATTGGGTTTGCTGCCTTGCGCTCAAAAGTTGCCGTTTCTGGCAGAGAATGAGTGCCCCTAGATCTCTTTCGATGAAATCAAAACGGCCGATTTTTTTGGAATCGGCTGTAAATCAAAAAAGAAAAGAGGAGCGTGGTGGTGATACATAAATACAACAGAACAAGAGTAACAAGAGGCGCGTGCTCAACATCAAAAGGGGTACGGCAGTGCAACCGTATTCTATTTACGCCATTGATGGTGAGAAAGAAGGACCTGAGGCACGTTTGGCTGGAGAGTCGTTCTCTGCACGGCCACTTGGGAACGCCTCGGGTTCTTTCAGTACGATAATTTCACCTATCTTTGCAGTGAAGGTTGCGCATTGTCTTTCGCGTCCTCCAATTAGGTGGCATGATCATGTGAATGACATTTGTACTGTGGCTCGGAGTGCGCTCTCATATTCGGATGGGGGGATTACTTGTACGCTTCCTTCGAGTCCAAACTCCGCTCCCAAGAATCCATTACCTGGACATAGTACATTGGAATCGTACCCGATTGTTGCAAGCTAATTGGTGGAAAACATGCCGATATCTAATCATTGATGAGTGTTTGATGATCTCTCGAACGATTCTTGCGAAGTTGTCCACAATTCTGGTTCTAATAATGGGGGAGGTGGGGGGCACGTGGAGGGAGGAAGTGTTCGGCGGTTCAAATGTGATCCTATGTGGAGGTTTCCTCCAGTAAGAGGGGGAAAGAAAGCCCCGCTATGCTGGCCATCAGTTGCAGGGGACAGCGCGGAAGACGCTTTAGGATCGGCGCTATATAAAGCAATAATCGTTCTAAAGGAGCAAATGCGGGTGACGGACCCTGCATGGGCAGACCTTCTCCGGCATTCAAGGCATGGCAAGAGCGATGACGATATAAAGCTGTTAAAGAGATTAGTTTTATCCTCGAAGCCATGTCCGCCCACGGACTCTTCAAAATCACCTTGGAATAGCGCCAGCTTAGCTGCGCCTCGTCAGGGAGTGCAGGCGGAGTGGAATAAGCAGAACACTGTCACCATTCAAAGCAGACTTTATTGATCTGCGCCGCGGAGGATACTATCAAGAACAGACCGCTGTGTCTTTTGGAGAAGTGGGCGTGTGCTCTTCAGCCAGCACGCAGAGGAGAGAAGGGTGATTATGGGAGTAAACTACCGGACACGATCGAAGTTGCACTCGGAGGAAAGGTGATGGTGACGACAAATGTGGACACAGACCGAAACATCGCAAATGGGGCGCGTGGTACAATCATGGAGATCTTGTTACATCCAAGCGAGCCAGAGATCCCACAGGGTATAGCAAGAGCGAGGTTGAGGCGCCTCCCAGTATGTATTCTTGTCAAGCTCGACCATGGCGGGACCTGGAAAAGGGAGTTGTTGCGATATTTGCAGAGGAGTGCATTTACTGTATCACACTAAAAGACGGAGCAATAAGGACGGTGAAGCATCGACAGTTGCCAATGACAGGAGCTTATGCGTTCACGGATTACAGGGCTCAAGGACAAACGGATAAGCATGTGATGATCGATCTAGCACCACTGCCAATGGGAGCGCTAACACTATTCAATGCATATATGGCGCTATCGCGAAGCTCAGGAAGGGATACGATATGGCTTCTGCGAGACTTTGAGGAGAAATTATTCTGACAACCTGCATGTGACGTACTCGCTGCGGAGATAAGCGGTTGGACAAGGAGACTAGGGGCAAGTGGGAGAAATTTGTAACAGAAGGCGGGACATGGTAGAATTGGCGCGTAGATGTAGAAGAGGATAGACACGCTAAAAGGAATGTTGAGGATCGATGTATTGGCTGGTCACAAAAGGAGCAACGTGACATGGTGGAAAAGCACACGTGCAAGGGCGAAGGGTGGGAAAAAAGGGAAACAATATAAACAAGGTGGGAAAAACGCTAAGGAATTCCGGGTTGGTAAGTGACCTTGCAAGCAAGGTAACACCTCTCTTGAGGCTACGGTCCAGTGAGCAACCCACCACCCCTTTTAGGATCTACCTTGAATCCAAATCACTAAATCCTGTTTACGAATGCCGCCTATGAGACGCACCATTGAAGTGGGTGTGACACCTCGACCATTGCAGCTCTTGGATATCTTGACGGTTTTGTTCGACTGCTGCTCTAACGCAACTCTGGCGTCAGCGGCACGAACTTGCAAATTGTGGATGATCCCGGCTCTGCGATGCTTGTGGCGAGTACTTGACACTCCACTGCCTCTCCTTCGGCTGCTAGGGAGGGTCGACAAGCCTCACACCATTTTTCATGTGAGTGTCTCGTGGTGATCTTTTGTATGAGTGAGTATTAATAGTATCTACGTTGATGTGTAGAGGTTGCCTATGGTAATGGATCTTGAGGCACTACCAAGAATCCAATTTTATGCAAAATGTGTTCAATCCATTATTGTCAATATCGGGGACGTGTACCATTACATCCATCCCGAGCTGATGGACGAGTTTACCCTGGCAGTGCAGTTTTTGCATCCACCTCTTTTCTCGCGTCTCATTTCGTTGGATTGCCATCTCTATGGATCACGGGCGATCAGAAGCGCTGGGATTTGGCTTGCTGCGCGCCCTCCCAAGATCTCATTATCCTTCCTTGGCCCTACGGATGCAACCTGTCTCCCAGTCATTCGATCGCTTTGTCACCACAGTGCCTCCTTGTCATCCCTCAGTCTGCACATCGGCGAAACTTCAGGATTTAGTGAAGCCCTCAACGAGTGCTTTGTAAACGCATTGAAGCCGCTGGTTAACATTGTTTGCTTGACTGCACACGGGAAAATCCTTTTGACCCCAGCTGTATGGACTTGCATTGCCCAACTCCCCAACGTAAAGGAGGTCCGCTCACCCTACTCCGAGGGATTCGACCTCGATTCGGCCTGGCACGGTTTCTGCCCCCCCACGTTAGATGCTCCATTTCCCTCTCTTCACACTATTGAGATGGGTATCCCGTCACAGCTAGCAGTGATGGTTCTGGGGTGTTATCCTTTGAGTGGGGTGCGTTTTCTCAGACTGCTACTGACAGACGCCGAGGACCATTCGCCAACAGAGCAGTCATTAATCCAGATAGTCACAATTTGTAAAGACTTACGTGGATTGGCCATCCTGACCCCTTGTTTTGACCTCCCTGTACTGAAACTGCCTCTACCACCTGATCTTACTCAACTGCTGATCTATACTGATGGCGTTGAGAGCATTAATAATGCTGATTTGGTGGATCTATGTTCTAAGATGCCTAACCTTGAAGATTTGGGTTTAATCCCGGTATCTCCCCCGATAAATGATGATCCTCCAAGTCTAACGCTGGAAGTCATACGGTCAATCGCGAACGTATGCCCTCGTCTTGGGCGTGCTTCGTTGTACATCAATACGGACATCTTGGATATTCAATTCTCCTTCGATGACCCTCCCCTTCCTTCGAATCATCCACTTTCTGTACTAGGTTTCTTGCCGTCTCGGGTCCGGGATTGCCCCGCAGTAGCAACGTATCTGTGCGCTTTGTTCCAGGACGCTCGACGTGCACCGACGATCGTGACACGGGCAATTCATTTCGATGAATATTTCAATTGGGAAGGGCGATATTTCTGCGATGGTTTTGAGGATTCTGAGGAGGAATGGGGAAACGTTGCGGAGTTTATGCGCACGCTGAGGAGGCGGGTCATCTCTTAGTCTCAGAGTTGATTGGTACAGAAGGATGCAGAATTGGAGGCGTTACGGAAGAAACTCCGATCTTCACCGCGGGAGAGGGTATAATGAGATAAGTCCCTAGCGTTTGAGTTCTTTATGGGTGGCTTTGAGGAGTTTGGGGAGTAACGGAACTGTCGCAGGCGCCTGGGGGATGGGGGAGAAAAAAAAAACATAAAGTTTCCAAGATGTCCCCTCGGATTTATTGGATTTATCACAACAAGCGATGCCTGGCCGGGAGTGTTCAAGCACGTATCATGCCCGTTCTTTTCCTTACTGTACAATTATTCTTATTTGCACCATCGTTCTACGACGTTCAAACCTTAATCATACGCCTTCGCTTTCTACTTGCTTAAAATACTCTAGTATCATTGCAATTGCCCCACTTTGCTACCCCAAACTTCTATCTCTTGGCGTTCCCTGTCTATTTTGCGCTACAAATCCCACGATACCAGAGCCTATACGTGCTTATCGATGCACGTATCGGGGAAAATGATGCGTTTGCGTAAACAAATCCACAGTCAGTTCACAACATTACTACTATAAACCAGAAGAGACATTGGCCACAAAACATGAAAAAAAGGTGGGGATATGGATGGTGGGTGCAAGGAAAAGGGTCAACAAGAAGTGGAAGGACGAGGTGGAGGGTAAAAGGCGTATCGACATTCGTTGATTGGGTGAGAGATGATGACTCTTCAGCTTAAAGGTGGTACAAATCATGACAATTGACAATGGAGAGATGAAGGGAATCAAGTTTGTGGTTGCGCATGTAAGTTCGTTCATTATCGTGCTGTCTTCTGAAGTGAGATGTGACAGTGGGGGAAGATGAGAGGATGAGGCATGATGGTGGATTTGAGGCTGGTGGCAGGCATCGCAGGTGGGTTCAATCAGCCGGAACAACCTAGAGGCATTGACCCAAAAAGAAACGACGCCACACTCCATGCCACACTTAGTGTGTCTCCCCATCTACCGCTGCCCAACATACGACTTCGCCCGATCAAATCAAGCCCTCAACCGTGATCTTGACTCCGGACTTGGATTCTCGACCGCTATCATCGTCGCAGGCTTGGGCTCAATACCATACGTCTCATCGTGGTCGGCGGCCACAAAAAGCAGGACGGTGCTGCAACATGTCAAACCAGTCCCACGTTGGGAACAAACGCAAATCCAATTTTAGCGTGAGAGCGCCGTAAGGTGACCATGTGCAACGTGGTTCAAAGGCGTTGTCGTTTGAACCAAGTGTCAATCCAACGTGTGAGTCGATATTTAGTTTGTGGGAGTGGTACGACCAGACCAAGATGCGATATGAATTTAGAGATGAAACGAACGTTTCACACGGTAAGAATGAAGTTCGGAGTTGTGAATGAACGGACTGACCTTGCTGCCGTGAAGATGAAACCGACCCAAAGCTGTACAACATACGCGATATTCGTCGGCCACTTGTAGTATTCTACGAAACAAAGGTGATGCGGGTGGGATGAAAAGTTAAAAAGGAAATGGTTAGTCTATATTTTTATGGTAGCAGTGATATGTGACATCCGGACACTCAACTGAGTGGAGGCCTGAAAAAAATATCGGTGAGTGCCTTGGCCTCTTCGGGAGTGGCGCGCACGACGAAGGCTGTATGCCTTGCAACTACGACCTAGGAAATGAAATCCAACTCAGTGGGTTTTGTTCAATTGCACATGATTCGGGAACAAAGAGCGCAACCGAAGCACATGCGAATCCGTCACATCGGAGTCCCATTGTCTTCCGATGCTCGGTCACGCAGCTCGCTTCGTGAATGACGCTGTAACGTACGTTGGAAAGCACTGCGGACGCAAAGACACCCGCTGTGATTGCCACCGCCAATGCCTTCTTCGTAAAGTTGTACCACATTGGATACAACCTCCGTGGCCAAAAGAGTAGGAAGAAGAAGTCCGCTCCGAACAGTGTTGCGACGAAGACGCAAAAACAGATGGTCATAGCTTCGGCAACTAATATGTCATGCTGGTGGAGGCTTGAGCGACCGTGGGTGTACTTTTCAATGTGCTCTTGGAGAGCAGTATATTTGGCGAGGGAATAGGTAGCTGTGCATTCAGCTGCGAGACAGGTAAGCATAGCAAGTTGGTAGATGACTGATCGTGTTCGAGTGATGTCGTGCAACGATGGACGTGCGCCATTTGAACATGTGCCCAATGAGCAGAAATGGTTAGAACAACTCGCGGGCTGACGGTCGATAAGAAAGGAGAAAGTATCCACGCACTAAATCGCTCCCTTCGGAGATGCCACCTGCCACTCATCATGCTTCGCGTGCTGAACGCGCCCCAAGACATCTCGCCTAGATCGAAACCCCAGATGACAGGTGCCATATTGAAGTAATGTGTGCCGAGCGAGTCCTGTCTGCTGTTGGGGAGAGTCTTAGAACAGAAGTTGAGCAGTAGTTAGGGAAGGTTTGAAGGGGAAGCGAATCCCGCTGGTGTGCGGTGGGAAGACGAGCCAAGGCCGGCGAATTATCAAATGCAAATTACCCAATGAAGCGTGGACATGCTTAAATACACGGTGGAACACCGCTCACCCACGATCATGTGATTGCTTCAGGCCCAATTCCGTTGCGGTGATCATGCTTTTTTCTAGGTTAGATAACTCTCCCGCGGCAGTGACATGGGCAAAGGGGTGCCTAACAACGCATCGAATCGGTCTACCATCGACCAGATGCCCTCAACCACGGTTTTAGAGACACGATCCACTGTTTCGGCTGTCAGCACTTCACATGTGAGACTTCTTATTTCCTTGCGTGCAGCCCACTGGCACCCGAAACCTCAAGCTGAGCACCCGTTTCCCCCCCTAACTGCACGTTTACCAGCAGGCGGAGCCTACTGGCTCCCGGCCAACACCTTCTGAAGACCTGCCTCGGCTACAATTCGAATACAGATGGTGGGCGGTAGCGCTCTACATCATCTTCCTCATGTTTTGTAATCTATGTAAGGGCGACCTATCCATTTGTGTCTAGGACGACCTATTGATGTCCCTTCCTGAAGTGTTCCCTTGCCTGGTTTTCTATCTCATTCGAATATGTGCGCAGTCCTTTGTTCCATTTATCAGCTCGCGCCTCCTGACCACCGTCAAATTTTCTAGATGGAAAGAAGATTACCTTGCGGACAAACATTGGCATCTCTTCAGCCTCGTTGGGCCTCTCCTCATGCTTTGATGCTCCTTTCCGTCTGTACAAACGTGAGTGTCCCCCATACGAAATGTATTTCCGGAACACTTAGTCTCGGCACTTTCACGTGTTGGTGGCGTGGGTTCCCCTCGGCGTTTCCGGGTCTTAATTCGGGCGGTGGCTGTTCTCGTTGTCCATGACAGTCGTCCGGTTTAGACAGCGCTATGGACCGTTAAACGACGATGTGTTTTGGCACGCAGATTTTTTCATGTGGGCATACACAATCTGCCTGTTCACTTTTGCTTTCCCGCTGGCTATCGCCCCGGCCCTCAATCCAATCGCTCTGTGCGTCCCCTTTCTCGTTCGTGGAGCACCCTGACAAATAGCCTGATCTTAATTCATAGAGATTTCTTCCTCATGTCCACAACACTCCTCATAACTCCTTTCGGTGTGCTCCTCCTCGCCACCCTCATCCCATTCCGTTCTGGTGTCCCCTTCTGGCTATCCTCTGACCCACCCTACACGACGCCCATTAAACCAGGAATCCTTTACGTCACAGAAGACATAGGGGCAGTAGACTTCACCCTGGGTAGAACTTACCGTACCCAAATTCACGCTCGCTATGCCTCAAGTCCACCTTTCCGTCGATTAATGTACATCCTTACATGGTACTTCGGTATAGCATGTCTACTGTTCATGGGAATAACAGCTGCTGTCGTATGGGGCGCCAAGGGCGGAGACGATAAACCAAGGTTCGGAGGAAGTGGATCTCAGGAGGAGGATTTGAATTTTAGGTTCGGGTGGGTGCTCGGGCAGGTGTTTTTGTGGGTAGGGGCGGTTGGATTAGGGTGTTGGGGGATTGTGAGGTGGGGATTGAAGAAGGAGCAAGAGTGGTGGGATAGGAGGGGGTTGGTAGAGAAGGAGAAGTCGGGTGGGGAAGGGAGTTGAAGTGACGTAGTTGATGCCTGGTTCGTGCATATTGCTCCCCTTTTAGCATTTTGCGTCGAGTTTCTTCATGACATTTCTTGTGGCATGGCGTAGCATGGGATATTCTCTTTCCGCATACTGCTGGCTTTGTCCTTCTGGAATTCTTTGGATTTTACTATCGTGGCGAGATCTGTGTATCGCATTATGATACAGTGCGCATTGAGGACAAGGATAATTGAGCCGAAGGAACACGTATGGGAACTAGGGAAAACGATGCAAAAGTTTCAAGCAAGCGCATAATGGTTCTGTAGTGGAAGTTGTTAGTCCAACCGACCCCAAGTCTTGGGAAATATAGCAGACCTCGTCTGTGGTTGCATAGATGTGACCATTCTCCGTCAACCAATCGATCGCCTCGCTAATTTGTTGTGCCACATCAGTACTACCTTGTGTTGGCAGTTGACCCCTGATACCCTTGGCGATATCCAGGAAGCTAATCCCATCCTCGGAGGCATTCGCGGCATTGGCTTTCATCCATAAGTGAACGAGTCTACCGGCATCGCTGAAGTCTTTATAGAAGTCTCCGCTCAGCGAGGACGAGGGGTTCGCTGCGGCTGAATATTGAGATGGAACGCCCCTAGCTGTGCTGGTTTTATCGCCTGCTGCTGCTGACGCCCCGGGACCTAACATTGAAGGGGAAGGTCCATATTTCGAGTACAAGTGAGTGTAAAGCGCATCGATGTGGTGATAATAAACTTCATTCATGTCTTTACTTGGATCATGGATGTCTTTCGCTATGGGAATAACGACGAGCGCGTTTATGGTTCTTTTGTTGTTGAAAGATTTTACGTGTCCGATGATACGGACCCAGGAGTTGTCCTCGATGCTTGGATTGAGCGGGTCTCGGTCCTCGTTTGACTCGATCCATCTGCGGGCTTCGATGCGGCCTGTACCGTCGTAGACTGTGTAGACATGGTGGGTGGTTTGGATGATCGAGGAGAGGACCATTGCCACAATGACGATCTGAGATGAAAATATGAATACGCAATGAAGGGTATAGAACTAAGTGTACGAAACTTGTGTTGGTTCAACTCCTTCGAAAGAAAACTCAGCGTCCGCGTGGGATTGGACAGCATCATGGATTTGCATGATCGTTACAGGTCGCAACGAATAGCCGTGTTTCTGCATCATTTGAATCTCTTGAATTAAGAGAAATTGGGCATGTGTCCTTTGAAACAAACCAACCTTACCCTCCCCTCCACTGTCTTGACTCCCGCTGGGTAAATATCCGCCTCCGCCTCCACTGCCTCCACCATTGTAATAAGGTCCGGTGTTGCCGAAATCTAGTGAAAGCACGCGCCAACAAGAAAGTTAAAATTTTTTGGGGGACGGAGGGGGTCATAATATGCATATAACGCGCGAATCTCGTACCAGACATTGATGGTTTTTGGATGAACCGAACTAGAACGCGAAGACAGGAGGGATGAAAGGTCAGATGATCGAGTTTGGTGAGTGGCAGTGCCCAGGCTCTTTTTCAATTGAATTGAGAAACCCGATTTTTTCGAGCGTTCTTCAACGCTAACTTTGTTGCCCACCATGTCGGACAACGACTCCATGGATTTGGACTCTATGGAGCCAGTGATGCAGCCCAGGAAGCCGAGGATTCGAGTAAGTAGGTTTTCTGGACAAATCTGGGGTAGGCCATTGAGATGAGTCTAATCATCAGGGCAAATCCTATGAGAAACGTTTGCAAGATGTTCACCTTCCGTCTACGATGCTTGATACCCTGCTAGATGAGGACCTACCAGTGAGTTTTTTATGGCCACTTGCCGATCGAATCTGAATACTTTCCTCGTATGCAGGAAGGGTCCTCCCATTTCCAATACCACCTTGCACATCTTCGACAACTCAGCTTGGGGTCCATGTTCACAGAATATTCGAGGATTGTTTATCCTCTCTCCAGGTCTATGCCTTTACTTGTGTTGAATTGGAAGGCTGTAGGCGAAGCTTGGATTGAAGCAATTAAGGGTACAGAAGAGTCAAAGGAGCAAGGCGAAAGTTACAAGCCGTTATTCCGGTATGTTGGTGACATCTTATGTGTGGCGTATGAGCGTTGATCTATATGGCTCGACATCGTAATGTTTCCTCCACCTGTGCCTTTAGGCTGCTTCAGGCTTATATTTACGACCTCCGTTCGATCATTCAGCCTCTTTACAATCCTTTTCTCAAGACACTTCTATCACTGATTTCGCTGAGGCTAGATATTAAAGTTCTGGCTGAGCTGATGGCTTCATTGCTTTCTCTTCTCAAATTCGTTCTCGTCCCTAACCTTACACCTGAATTGCTGGATGAAACTTGGGGGGAGTTCGTTGGGGCTTTTCAGAGGATAAGAGTCGATCATTCTAGGATGCTCGGGGAAGTATTGGGTGCTATCTTAAGGAGAATGAAGAGCATCGATAGGAAGAAACTCAACACGTTAATGTTTAACTCTTTGCAAAAGGATGACACACCTCGATTGCGGGACGCTCTTGCTTGGCCATTTATCTATGCGTGCCAGGTAAGTTGAATTTTTACGAGATTATTGAGACATGTGTAACTCAGACAGCAGGGTCCGCAACATTCACTGCACACATCCTCGAGCCAAATCGTCTCGGATTTACTCGACGTTCATTTATCATTGTCATTGTCATCGCAGACGTCTATCTTGGGTGACACCGCTGAGGAGGGATACTCCCCATTCACAACCGAGAATGCAACTGGCACACTCCTTCGCCGCCTCCTTTCGTCGCTTGCCCACCATGTCAAGGACGCTGCTGCCTACGAGTCGGCATCTGTTTCTGTCCTTGACGCATTCGTTAAGGAGGTGGAAGGTGCTACAGAGTCGGATGCTGATGCCTCACGACTCGTTGCGATGTTGCGAATAACAACCATCCCGGTTATGGTATTGCAGGGAGCCAGGATGCAAGGTGTGTATCGTGTGACGTTTATAGCAGAGCGGAATAAATGACCCCGGGCCTCTTACTTTCCTCTAGCATCCCAATTACGAAAAATTTTGGAAGCACTTTGTCAAGTTCCGCAACAAGTTGTTTCTGCCCACAAGGAGGATTATGGGAACCTCATAATTGCAGTCTTGTCGTCTTCCTCTAGCGAGGTGGCGGTATGGCTGCCAAAGAATCTGGGGAAGCGCGCAATGGAGAAAGTTTGGGAAGTGCGCCTTTTGTTGTGTTTGGCAGACCAGAATTTGTGCTTAATTTCATACACAGGATCCTGTTTCTGGTCTCCAATTTTCTGGGGCTCTAGCCGAAGCGGGATGGGATGGCTGGAAAGCCATTGTACTGCCAGAACTAGCCAAGTATGCCGCTTCTTGAAGCGATATGCTGATGGTACTTACCCCCATCACTGTAGGCACCTACCGGTAGCACTCTCTTCGGGTGGAATATCTTCGGATGTCGCATTAAGAACGCTCATATATCTTGTTGAGAACAACCGTCTCGACACTAATTGCCTTCCCAATGGCTCTCAATGGTGGGGAAGCATAACGGATTATTTCAAAGAAAGATTAAAGAGTTGGACCCACAATGTAGAGAATGTGAGTTCGCTTGGCTGGGCGTAGCGATGTCTCTTCTCTGACTTGGTGTTGACTCATGATGATAATTGCAGACGACACGACTCATTGCAATAGCCATTTGTGTGAAGGCACTCCCGGCATCCGATCGTGATGCTGTGGCAACGCTGTTCGTCGATATCATCGATTCCATTCTTTCGCTGTCAGAAGTCGATTACCATGCGAGGTTCTTGGAATCTCCGTTCAATGAGGCCCTTGTGGTCTCAGTATCTTTTGCTACTTTAGCTGGCATGGATAGCGATGCAGTGCGATCATCGATCCTCCCAAAGTTGGATCGTTGGTTAGAGATCATCACGTCTTCATGGACATGGAGTCCGGATGTGCTGAACTCTATCCATATCCTTTGCAAGGATGTGTATGTCTCGCCCAAAATTCCTTGCTATACCTTTACTTTATGCTAATTCTGCATTTTAGTAATCATAAATCAACCATCCAGCAAGACGTCTTATTTTCTCGACTTCGCCCCTGCATCATGTCACATCATGCTTTCCGAAGAATTAGAGCCCTGCACCTTCTCTTCTACAACGCTAACTTGAAAAATGATTCCACGTCAAATTCTGTCTCGCCAAGCTCCCTTTTACTCCAATCGATGATTGCCGCCGATGATTCCGTTCTGGAGGTGTCGGCGGTTCGAGAAAGGATCTTTCGAACAACGAATGTCGGCGCCACAATTCGTGATGACGCTGAGGTTTCGGACGTACAGCTCGCTGGCATGTGGCTTCTTGGTGAGTCCGTAATCTCGACTACTTAGATCTTACGTTTAATCAAGATGCCCCTCGCCGCAGCTCAGCTGAAGGTTAACCTGCAGCCGCTATGGAAGCCGACGGTGGAGAGTTTTGCGTCTCTGATGGAAAGGTTTCCAGAGACTCTATGGCAACTCAGTTTCAGCGTGTTGAAACTTGTCGGAGAATCGGTGGAGGGGCAGGATCCTTCCCTGGATCCAGTTCCAGTGTGGTCCGAATACTTTAAGGACCAGGGTATCATCCGAGAGTCAATTTTCCGTGATGATCAAAATACATGGACGGATTCAAGTGCGCACCGCTTGGTTGGTGTTGGACGTCGATGGCGTCAACAACTATCCCAAGTAGTGACGATGAAACTACCACTCGTGAGTATTGCTAGGGTCGTTTGCCTAGCCGTATGTCGCTAACCTCGGTGAGTAAGGGTTATGGGGAATACGACCGTCTCGACCTGGAAAATTTCGAAACTCAGATTCTTGCCATTTTCGCACAAGCCTCCACTATCGCCAAAAAGTATAGCTACGAACTCTCTCCGTATTCTCTTTCAGTAATGCGGTCGGGAACGACTTCACACCGGAGGTTGAAGGCATACCTCTCAATGATAGCCAAGCTACCTAATCCAAGGACTCTCCACTCCTCATCCGAGCTGTACTCCTTCTATTTCTCTACCGTCGCAGCTCCGAATCATTACCTACAGAGTGTTGCACTGGATTGCATTCTGGCCCATCGGCCGCCAGCTATCTCGCCGTATGGAGAACGATTGCGCAATGTCATCGACGAAACCAAGTGGCGGGATGAGCTATTGTCTTTCAAACTTGACAGGCATATTGAGCCTGAACATCGTGCTGAGTTTGTGCACCTGCTTATTTGCCTCCTTTACCGTCGGTTGGTGGAGAAAAGAGCTCGGCACTCGAAGGGGAAGAGGCCTGTCGCTGCATATGGGATGCTGAATACCTGCACCAGTGCTGAACTTCGTACACTAGTCAACCTTATGCTGCGACCTTTTCCCATGAGGATGGACTCATCCTTCATTGACGCATTTGAATTTCAGGGTCTGGGAGATGCCAATCTTCACAAACAATCGGCATTTCTTGATCTCCTCAGCGATGTACACAAGTATTTGGGTGCTCATATGACCGATCACTGGCCGGTCTTGCTTGGAACGACCCTGGAAATAATAAACAACGCTGAGCGCCTTTTGTCAGTGGGGACATCTGCAGCTGATGTTGCGGAGGAGGAAGAGGAAGAAGAGCCGGAGGCCGCCCTCGATGATGACCAACTCATCGAGACGGAAACTCAAGGTGGTCTATCCATACAAGACTTGCCAGCCCAAGGATCCAGCGGACTTCTGCGGTCCGTACGCCAGAAAGGATTGAGGTGTTTCAACAGCTTTTTCGTATTGACCAACGGCCAATTTGATTTCCTACCATATATGGGTTCAGCATTCCAGTCCTTTATCATTCCTCGCATTCGCGCGATTGGCGAGAACTCTCGGGTACCTATCCTGTTGATAGATGTGCTCTTGACGTTCTCAAAATCTCCCCTTACTTCACGCTTCTTAGTTGATTACGATGCAGACCTTCTCCCTACAGTTTTTCAATCTTTGGATCGCCCCGACACGAAACCCATGGAGATCATGAAAGTACTTGATCTCGCCCAAGCCGTGGTTGAACACGCGGTCAGCAATCCTCGTTTTGCTGAAGATGCTTTGCTTCCAAATGTGACCTACCTAATGGAACGGCTTACGCACTTGGCCGCGCGCCGCTCAAGCAGTTCTTCTATTGTGGAGCGTCAGTTTGGTATCTTATCGTCGTTGTCCCCGTTCATCCAGGACCCAAGTCAGGCGGAACGTCTCTTTCGTCTTATTCTTTCAATGCTCTGGAAATCGCTTCCAGAAACACGCCAGCTCAGCCTAATTCAGATTATGGAAACACTGGTACAGTTTGTTCCAGATTGTCAAAATATGAGTAGTCGGCTTGGGAATGATGCATTTCAATGCATATCGAGGTTGTTTCAATCTTCGTGCGAGCGTACCACACGAGACGCATTGGTGGCAGTGTTTCGACAATTATGTGGCGGGGATTCGTCATTAGAGACTACTGCAAAACTGGTCGATGCACTCAATTCATACCTGAACACAAAGGATATCCCGGACTTCGAACGAAGACTCAATGCATTTTCTACCATAAATGAGGATGCATATCGTTCTTTATCGCATACAGCGTGGCTTCCAATTTTGTACAACATGCTCTTCTTCGTCGAGGATAGACACGAATTTTCTATTCGTATCAATGCCGGTCTTACACTACGCCGCTTTATCGATCGGACCTCAGCTGAAAGTGACCAGCATCGCGGTAAGATTCTGCACCTGGCCCTGCCCCTCGATCATCTCTTCTGACCCTTATAAAATAGATAATCCATTCACCCCCACGTTTAGATCCATCATCTATCCCTCTTTGTGTCGAACTATCCGCTGCAAGACTGAGAATGCCAGGATGGAAGCCCTGAAAGTCATTGGGCATGCAGTTGAAAAACTGTCAGGGATCCCGTTCCTTAAAGAACTTCAACCACTCATTGGTGACACCGGTAGAGACAGCTTCTTTCACAATCTGTATCATTCCCAAAAGCAACCAAGGATCCGTGCGATTCGGAAATTAATCACTCAAAGTGGTAACATCCGTGCTACCACTATCTCCGCTCTCCTCTTACCATTATTATCACACTTCCTCGATGTGAACGCGGATCGCGATGTTCAAGACATGTCAGTTGTCGCTTTCGGTAGCCTATCTCGCAATTTAGCCTGGGATCCGTACCTTGGGCTGATTGAGACTCGCTTGAAGGATGCGAGGCTGTGTAACGCTAGAAAACGTGGCGCAGCGAAAATTCATTTGCGCACTGTAAATGCCGTAATAGACAATTTCCCGTTTACCTTGGACGGGGTGACGGACGAAGGGGAAGATGAGGATGCAGACGGGGAGGGAAATGCGGAAGAGGGGGATGCAGAGAAAGACGAGGACCATACTCGAAAGTCCCAGCCTGACCTTCGAATTGCGGATGCGATTACGGGACGTTTGCTGCCCGCTCTTTTTCGTTTTATGGACAAACGGGATCCGAAGGACAAGACACCGTTCTTCGTTGCCACGAGCATTGTGCGCATGTGCAATAAGCTTCCAGAGACCACGCGGCAAACACATGCTGCACGGCTCATCACGATCTTGAGCCAAGCCCTGAGGACCAAAATTGAGCCGATAAGGGTGTTCGTCAGGGCGACTCTCTGCCGCATTTCCACAATGCTGGGAAACAGTATGCTGCCCGTCCTTTTCCGCGAACTGCGACATGCTCTAGTGCGGGGCTCCCATCTTCATGTCCTTGCGCATGTCACCCATACGCTTCTTTTCCACGTTACGTCCCGAGAACATGCACAGTCATTTGGGAGTCTAGATGCCGCCACGGAGGCAGTTGCCCACATCGCTTTTGAGGTAGTTTTTGGCCAGTCCGCCGAAAGGTCGGAGTCCGAAGGCCTCAGGGCAGCCTATCGAGAAGTTCTCGGTGCTGTGCCCATGGGCGTGCAGTTGTTTGGTATCATGGCCCAGCAAATATCATCATCAAAGATCCGCCCCCTTCTGGAGCCTATTCGAGCCTTACTTCATGAAACGGAATCCGGGAAAATACTCCAGAAAATTGACGAAATTTTAGGACGCATTGCAAGCGGGCTAAATGCAAATAAATACCTCACTCCCACCGACATTTTGTCTTTGTGTCATACCCTACTTACCCAGAACGCTCAGTTCCTGCGAGGGAACGTGGTAAATCCTCCAAGCGAAAAAAAGAAGAGCGATGTCGATGTTCAACTCACACGACACGTTGCAGTAGTCAAAGATCTCTACTCGATCAACTCGCACAAGTTTGTCGCCCTCGGCTTGAATCTGTTCAATGCGGCTACCAATAGATTTGATATCAAGGATCTAGACATCTGTTCTCGTTTAGATCCCCTGGTAGTAGCGATCAGCCCAACGCTTCATTCGCCTCACAATGTCGTCTTACTTCCTTCTTTGCGGGCATCAGCCACCATCTTACGCTTCCCTCTTCCAAGTGTCTCCGACCACCTGCAGGCCTACGTACAACAAATTCTCCTTATTTGCAGAAAAGACGGTTCGACGGAGTCCGAAGTTGTCCAGATGGCTCTGCGAACGATCGCTTCCGTGATGCGGGACTGCCCCGAGTCCGTATTCGAAGAAGCGGATATTTCCTTCATACTGGAACTTATCGCCCCCGATCTTGAGGAGCTTGATAGGGAAGACGCTATCTTTACCATCTTGCGAGCTATTGTGTCACGTAAATTCGTGGCGCACGAGATTTATGACATCATGGACAAAATTGCTGAGCGCATGGTCACCAGCCAGTCCCAGCATTCCAGGAGCATTTGCCGAAAATTGACCTTGCAGTTCGTGCTCGATTATCCCCATGGTACAAACAGACTCAAGAATACCATGACGTCGCTAGCCAAGAATTTGTCTTACACGTTCGAGAGTGGCCGGATTTCTACATTGGAGCTCCTCCTCTCCCTATTCTCCGTGATTCAACTATCTTTGCTATGTGAATATGCGGAACTTTTCTTCCTCGCCCTCGTTATGCTGCTCGCCAACGATGACTCCTCGAAATGTCGGGAAAAGGGTGCCATGGTGATGAAGGTCCTCCTCCAGCGGTTGGACGAGACGATTCTGAAGTCCGTGGCGGTTCATCTCCAGAAGTGGGTCCAGAAGACCGCACAACCTTCTCTCGTACGAACGGCCGCGCAGATCTACGGTATCATTGCTGGTGCTCCTCGAGTTATCAGAACGATCGGTGGCGCTGATTTCATCGTTGACGACCTGAACGGATTGCTAGTGGCAAGTGCATCAACCTTAGGTACCTTCGAGTCTAGATGGGCTGAGAGGCTCGACGTTTCTGAGATGGACGTATCAGGCTTAGAGTGGCAAGTGCCATACCAAGCCTTGACGTCGCTCAACAATCTTGTTCAGCCTAAGCGAACTCCCAACGAGCCCCAGAGTGTTCCTCCGCACATCGACGATATTCGTTGGAATAAGGTTACAGACCATCTTCTTTTCCCTCATGCCTGGGTACGCCTGGCTTCCGCACGGCTTCTTGGGTCGCTCTTCAGCGTGTCGCCTATTGGCTTTCCAGATCCCTCTCTTCCGTCTTCTCACCCATTGTCCCGTGAAGGATCAGTCGATATCGCAAAGAAATTATGCCTTCAACTGAGAAGCCATCACCTTGATGACAAGCTTGGTCTTCAGATTGTTAAGAATCTATTCTACTTGGGGCGTTGCTTTACACATTGGCCACAAGAACAGCGTCAGGACTCTGCCACGGATACCCAAGACTCGCAAGTACCCGGGGAATTGACAAAGGAGGATGATTCGAAACGCGTGGTGTATCCGTTGCCGTGGCTTTTCTCTAAGCTGTCGTTCCAGGCTCGTAGAGCGTTGGACCGGAAACGGAGTGGGAAGGTCAGTTGTCTATTCCTATATGACGTACCAGTGCAATCTTTGCTAAAATGTCAACAGGACCCATCGGAGCATCATATGTCCTCTATCCTCAAGTGGTTCGCGGCCATGGTAGACTTTATGTCCCCGGATGATGTCGAGAAATATCTCAACGATATCCTGAGTCCGCTCTACCTCGTGATGAGGACTGGAGCACGGAACGAGAGGATGGGTGAGTTGTCGTCGTTCGTTATTGGTCCGAGAAAGGATGCGATTCTCATTCTTTGTTCCAAACAGTCGAGCTCAGTGAAGAGCTGCAGGATATGCTTCAAGCAAAAGTTGGGACAACCAAGTTTACCAGAATCCGCAACAGCGTCCGTCAAGGACTCCCCAAGTTTGGTGCAGGACGGAAGGCGACAGTGGTTTGTGTCATTCCCACACCTATATAAGTTGAGGTTGCACCAATTCTCACCCCTTGATACAGAAATTGGTCGTTCCCAAAAAGAAGTTTTTGAAGAGAAAACGTGATAGTGAAACGTAAGCTGAGATTTTTGTTCTATTTGTAGTACTTGCTGATTGTTGTTCAGTTACACAAAGATAACGCGTCACCCGTCGAAAAGAGCCCGATTCGGTTGAGGAATTGCTGCGCTCCATATCAATCAAATAGCATTCCTCACATACTACTAGATATACTATATCTTTTTGTTTTAATTACATCGACTATCACATCAAACCATCCGTTCTTCAACACCTTGGAAGTGTGTTATTCTTGTTATCCACCCTTGGGGACGTACAATTAAGCATTAAGGATCCCATTCCGCGTTTAGTTTTCCCATGGATGAAGTTACGTCTTCGCAGCTGGGTTGTCCAAATTAACCTCTTCCCTATGTCCCAAATGTCGTAAAGGGCGACTGTAATCGAATATTGAAATCCTTTGGGCATGAACTGAATGCCTCTCGATGGAGGGCCCGTCGCGAGTCGGAGGGCAGTGTTTGTGTCGACAACTTTGAAGACATGCTACGTAGTTCCAACTTAGTGAGGCGGATTAGCAAGCAAGTGGCGCACAGCAATTGAGTTGGTTATCGCGTCAGGCGGCGTCCACCAGTTTGAAATTGACCTGAATTTGAATCATCACAAGGTTCCGAGCCATTCATCGGCTGTAATTACAGCGATTTGGATGAGGTTGACTAGTTAGTGGATGATCATTGGACTATGCGGCCCGTCATTCAATCGGGCGCGCCGCTTACATATTGTTGTAAGGTCGCCCAAGTATTTATGATACCCCGCCGCTCCACAACCACTCATCGTTGGCTAGTTTTCTTTATTTAGTATCTATCACTTGTCCGACATTTCTCCTAATGTCTAACATCTGTGACTTTTATAACAGTTGTCGTTACAATTACATAGCATCCCCGCTGAGCTATGACCGACTCGTGACGAGGACTGGCATCTCTAGCTTTAAGGCAGAGGTTATGATAGTTGGTGAACAAACAAGGATCGAACAGGTAAGACTTTGGCCGGTTATTGTCCGCGAGGAAGGACGGCTCGCTGCGAGATTAAGTAAACAGAGGCAAATTGCTCCTCGAGATGGAAACGAGCCAAACGAAAAGAATCATCTCAAGACCTTTGCACGGACGAGTAACCTTGGGGAAATGCGCCTGGTTCCAATGGAAGGGACTTCACGGAGCATCCGGTGCGTAGCATCAGTTAGGATTGTATTCCAAACCATCGAGCCGTATTGTAAATTTGTAAGTATATCGATGCGTGCATGCTGGGTACACGTTCGCAGAGAGGCCGAGCACTGTGGAGTAGGGTATTCGAAAAAGTATTGGGTAGTCAGGAACCCATAAGAACATCGGTGCAGGATGCGGTATACATGTTTGCATGTATGATAGTCCATGCACCGCTTATGTCTAGTCATCAGTAAACGTACAGCCCGAACAGACCGAGACTGGTAGGAAATAGGAGGAGCAAAAGCGAAACTATCGACGACGACCTATTCCGCGGGGTTGTCGCCATGTGCAATAACTGATCAAGTCGTCGTGCTTGTTCGGAACTTTGAGTGGTATGACAGAATCTGGCTGTGCTGGGGAGGAAGCTCGATCGGATAAATGTACATGTGTGGTGCGGTGATAACTGCAGACCGACGTTTTTTGTGATAGTGCGTTGGATTGGGGTGGAATCAATCGTTGATCGATTGACCCACCTTTTATGTTCCTACCTTTGGGCACTTGGAAAAGACGGCAGCTGATTTGTTTCACCGTGACAACGACCAGGCCTCTCATCACGATCATTATAGGCCTTCGTTATTTTGTTAGTACGAGTCTACGACTTGTCCTTTCAGCATATCAACCGTAATAAACCAAACCTTCCTATGTGGGTTCGAAACGTTAATCGTTCGGGGGCGATTGTTTCGAATTCACTACATGTGTGCGGATGCACCTGGCACCTTATACCCAAGTCGGGTCGTACTTTGGGTTCGGAGATGTCCGTGTGCGCCACTGAATCCTTCCGCCGCGTTGGATATACAACGAGTTCATTCATTAGAGTTCCACATTATGCAGAGTGTGTCCAACGAGAGCCCGGACAGCCATCTTCATGAGAAATACTACATAGGCATCGATGTGTAAGCTATCTCACTTTCCTCGAAGGCGCAACACCGGTAGATCAACCGACACTGTTTGTTCCTTTCGATCAGGGGCACTGGCTCTGCCAGGGCTGCCCTCGTGAACCACACTGGAAAAATCGTCGCCACTAGATCAGAACCAACGAAAACGTTCCGCTCCGCAACCGACTCTAATATCTTTGAGCAATCGACTCCCGACATTTGGCGGGCGATCTCTATCTGCACACAAGACGTTCTAAAGCAATCGGGCATCAAACCAAACCAGGTCAAGGGATTAGGATTTGACGCTACTTGTTCATTGGCTGTTTCAGACCTGCAGGGGGAGCCCATCACTGTCACTGTCGGAAACGAGCTCGGGAAACCCGGTGACAGGAATGTGATCCTATGGGCCGATCATCGTGCTCATGCAGAAGCTCAGCTCATCAACTCCTCAGGATCGGACGTACTCAAGTATGTGGGCGGCACCATGAGCGTAAGACTCATTGATTGACGTCCATCTCATGATTCCAAGCCTGACCTGACTTTTATTTTTTTTTAAGCTCGAAATGGAGATCCCAAAGACGCTTTGGTTAAAAAATAACATGCCACCCGAACGGTTCTCCCAATGTCAATTTTTTGATCTTCCCGATTTTCGTACGTGCCCTTCCTGTTGATTCACGAGCTCAATGAATTAAGTCATGCACCCAGTAACATACAAGGCCACATCTAACCACAGCAGGTCATCCTGCTCCTTGGTCTGCAAATGCTCCTACGTCCCACCGCCAGCAGGGAAAGGCTGGGATGACGAATTCCTCACTAAAATTGGCCTCAAGGAACTTGTTGATGAGGGATTCTTGAGACTGGGAGGCTTTCCTGGGAAGGACGGAAGTGCAATTATGACTGCTGGCCTCCCTGTTGCGAAAGGTTTGACCAAAAAAGCTGCTGATGAACTCGGACTACTTGAGGGTACCCCTGTCGGGAGTGCTGTCATTGACGCGTGAGTGCATCTTCATATCTTCGTCCAGTCAGTGGGACCCTGAAGCACCTGGAATACACCCTAGGTACGCAGGGTGGATCGGTACAGTTGCGGCGCGGTACACAACTCGTAAAGACGCGAAGGAACTCAGTGCACCGGTTTCGCTGTCAGATTCTCGTCATCGATTGGCTGCAGTGGCGGGAACAAGTACATGCCATGTTATTCATGTGAGCCGACATTACACGTCCTTGCATGGATGATACCAAAGCAAATTTTGTCAGAACCCGGATGGAATCTTCGTTCCTGGAGTGTGGGGCCCGTACAAGGTTCGCAGGATCAATCCCGATTTTTTTTGGTCATCTTGGGATACTAGAATATTGCGCGGACAGAACGCCGTCTTTCCTGGCTGGTGGATGAATGAGGGTGGACAGAGTTCAACCGGTCAAGTAAAAAAAAAATTCAACTGGGGATATATGCAATGGTTCCTATTGAAGATAATACTTGTTGTTTCAGCTTATCGATTTCGTGATCACGAATCATCCAGCTTACCCCGAACTCGTTGAAATCTCAAGGAAAACCGGGAAAAATATTCATGTCATACTGGAAGAAAAGCTCGTGGAACTGCAAAGGGAAGCTGCCGAGAAGAAGGCCGCCAGACTTGGGAAAAAAGTGGAAGAGATCGATTTCGGGTTGACGGAACTAACGAAAGACCTACACTTCTACCCGGATTTGCACGGTTAGGGGGTCAGTCAGATTGTGTACGGATCACTCCTTGCTGATAGATTATCCGGAATAGGAAACCGTTCTCCACTGGCTGACCCCGAGATGCGAGGATCCATCGTTGGCTTGACCCTTGACAATTCGCTAAATGACCTCGCGTTGAAGTTCAACGTCGCACTCGAGGTAGGAGTAGTTCACAGTCCGAAGGGTATTTTGAGCTGAAAACATGATTCACCCAGGCGATTGCCTTGCAGACGCGTCACATCGTCGACGAGATGAATGCAAGGGGTTACGACATTAAGGGTATATTTATGAGCGGTAAGTAAAGTGGAAGTTATGCTTCGGGGGTTCCACCCCTTTTCTCATCATCAACGATTTCAGGTGGACAAGCAGCAAATCTCGCTCTCATGAATCTATTTGCGAATGTCTGTAAGATCCCCGTTATTCTACCTCACTCCTACAGCGCAGCTGTTGTAATTGGCTCCGCAATGCTGGGGCGTTATGCTGCCGAAGTCCACGAGCAGATAGGAGGGAAGGTCTTTTTCATCCAGGAGGAAATCGAGAGAGTAAGCGAAGAGAACAAGGAACGACTTTGGGATATCATGGTGAGTGCGGACTTTCGATGAGTAAAAAAAAATTAAATTAAATCTTGGGGACTGTCGCAGGTTGAGATGACTCAACCTGGAATTCAGATCGTCCCTGGGGGTACTGACCGGGAGAAGAGGTTGCTGGAAGCAAAATACAAGATCTTTCGGGAAGCCATAGTGATTCAGAGGAGGTGGCGAATGGAGATGGCTGAGGCATCTAGTGACTAAGGGAGGGATGACTGCTCCGACAGCCGGGTTTCATAGTCAAAAACATGGACTCTGGCCTCTGCAATAGGTGGGTCTGTTAGATAGCATATAGACAGCATCGAACCAATAGCCACAATTTTTCAAAGATGACTGTATTTTCTGATTGGTGGATTTGCAAACCTTGAAGTCGACAAGCTCAACCTCGGTCATGCACAGCCACTGGGCATCGTAAGCCACCTAAATGAGGAACAATGGTTGAAAATAACCATGAATGGTAGGTGGCCTTTCGGATTGCTTTCTTTTGCAAGGGCCTCGGTGTGTCATTAATGTTGTTGAGAACGCTGCACGGGTCCTTGTTAGATTTTCGGGGATTCTCACGGTCGCAACTTCACGTGATCGCGACTCTGACCCCCCCAACCTTCGCCAGCAACGTTTGAACGTGAGTATCGACTTTTGGCGCATATCTGCATCAGTTCTCGTGTATGTAGCCTCACCGCTGTCCATGGATACCTCACTTGTCGTACTGGATGGACGGATTGACATGGATGCACTAATTTTGATCTGGATGCACTTTTGATTTGGAATCTTCCTCGTTCGCTGACTGAACACGTTTTTGTCCAGTATGGGTCGCGTCATTCGTGCTCAGAGGCGATCTCACGCCATCGTACGTTTGTAGCATTACAAGGATGACTGAAATATTCCTGATTCCTAACTCGCACCCTGATAGTTCAAAGCCCACACCCACCACAACAAAGCACCCGCACGTATACGCACCCTTGATTATGCTGAGCGTAATGGGTACATTCGTGGACTTGTAAAGGAAATCATTCATGATCCTGGTCGGGGAGCTCCTCTTGCCCGTGTCGTTTTCCGCGATCCTTACCGATACAAACTCCGAACTGAAACATTCATTGCCACCGAGGGTATCCACACCGGCGCTTACGTTTACTGCGGAAAGAAGGCGACTCTCTCCGTAGGGAATATCCTTCCTGTGGGCAACCTGCCCGAGGGTATCGTTATTTGCAACGTAGAGGCCAGGCCAGGTGATCGCGGTACGCTCGCCAGAACATCGGGCAACTATGCTACAGTCATTGGTCACAACGTTGATGATCAAAAGACCCGTATTCGCTTGCCGAGTGGTGCCAAGAAAACTATTTCCAGCCGGGCTCGTGCAACTATTGGCATTGTTGCAGGTGGCGGACGTATCGACAAGCCATTATTGAAAGCAGGGCGGGCCTACTACAAATATAAAGCTAAACGCTACACGTACGCTCCCCCGATTTTCATTTTCTTAAATGCAACGTTGTTTCTGACGTACAAATTCCTTCCAGTTGGCCTCGCACTCGTGGTGTTGCCATGAACCCGGTTGATCACCCTCATGGTGGTGGTAACCACCAGCACATTGGAAAAGCCTCGACAGTACCAAGAAGCGCAGTTCCTGGTCAGAAAGTCGGTCTCATTGCCGCTCGCAGGGTACGTTTGCTCCATGCCCCTCATTGCTTATCACTCACGTTGATCTGTTTCTCCAAAGACTGGTCTGCTTCGTGGTACGAGCAAGAAGAAGGATCACTGAGCTTATCGTATTCCGCGTTATTTTTCCTATGGCCCACATTGGTGTATCGTAGTTTTGCATGCCCCCTACATGATCTTTCATACTATGCAATCTTCAGAAGCTCCGCAAAATACTATTAGTGTCTCGATACTTTGATTCAGCCTGGTGATGGCGAAATCGCTGCAGCTTATTATACTCTGTATTGGGCCCCTTAGCTGAATGCTGCCATTGAGTCTTGCTGCTGCTCTCGATCAAGGGGCTTTTGTTCTGAATGTTCATGGCGTCGAATTGAACCAAGGTTCTCGCCCCAATCCTTATCTCTTGATCATTTTTCAATCTGCACTATCTTTCATACATGCTTTGAGTTATCATGGATAAATCGATAGGCGTTCTCACCAGCAACACAAAATGGACGGTTCGCTGCCGCAGGAAATGGTTCTTGCAGCAGTTCGCTGATCACATTTCATAGCTCGACAGTATACAACCCATGATCTGACCTGTGGGAACGGTTGAGCTACTAAATCGTGTAAATTGAGCATGTTGCACGCGCGTAATCAACGGTAAGTCTCTTTGTAGAGTTGCAGCCCCAACTGACTGCACCTGTTGAGTCAAAATAATCGTATATAGAAGTGCACAGCTGATACATGCTACCGGAAATTGAAAGAGATATAAGGACCTTTGTGCGCATTTCCATATTCAACTGTGGTGAACAGTGATCAGCAGATGGAATGCAGCGGACTCGAAAGCATGAAATATTGTAGGGATCATGAGCTATTACAGTCTTTTATGGTGAACCAGGATCGTCGATTGTTACTTCACGGACAAGATTACGAATAATGTTCAGCATTTCTCGGATCATTTCATCTCGATTCCAGTCCCCTCGCCTCTGCCAGACGCAGTCCAAGCACATAGCTCGTAAATGTTCCAATTGTTCGATGGTCAAGTCCGAGGTTTCACCTGTAAGAGCTAAACGGAGTTGCCGAAGACCAGTATCACTGACTTCGAGTGGAGGGTACTGCGGGGTTGGCGTAGGAGTCCGAGCGGGAGTAGGGGAGACTGTAAGTGAAATAGGGATGGACTCGAAGGGTTGGGTTGGAGGATGAAGAAAGTCGGACGGCTGGGGTGGGTTGAAGGTTGTAGGGGGGGCACCTGATTCAATTGGAAGATTCGTTGCAGGTAGACTTGGTCTTTGCGCCAGACTGGTTGCATCGACGAGCATACTATTGGAAGGTTGAGAATCTACGAGGAACTGGACTGACAGCCGTGTAGGCGCGGACTCGGTGGGGATTGGGCACCGGGCAGTGTCTAGGTCCACTACGGTTGTCGTCTCATCCTGGTCTTCTAAAGATAGCTTAGCGCGTTTGGCGGGCGAGCGATTTCCGGTCTCCTCAAATGCAGTTTCCCTCACGTCTTGTAGAATTTCACTGTCCACGCGCGGACGTTTAAGCGTTCGCTCCAATCGCATCGGATCTTCATTCGACTCAGTCGCGGGCAATTCTGCAGCGCCAGTGCCCTGTGCAGCTGGTAGCGATGATTCACCAGTTGCGTTTTGGCCCTCTTGGGTTGGTTTAGGTGGAGTATCCTTGACGGTTTGGGCTTTTGTAGCTGTCCGCCTAGCCTTGTCCCTAGCCGCCATTCGCTCACATTCGAGCTTAAACTGGGCATCCCAAATGACAGCTTCAGCTTCCGAGTACATCTGATGTGCTTTGAATGCATGCTCGAGGTTGCATGGTGGTATCCGGGTGTTGTGCACCATGCGACTTAAATCTTGCAGGAATTCATCCGGTGTAAGGTATGCCTTGTCATACAACTTTTGATGCATTTTGTCGAAATCGACGTCATAAACCTTGGGCAAGGGTTGCGGGGGGGAAGAGGTGGCTGGTACGTCGGTGGCGGGCCCTGAAGTGGAAATAGGTGGTTGTTCATCTGAAGATTTTGCATCTCCATTGACGATGCCATTGACATGAGGAACAGTCGGGTTGGGCTGCTTTTCATTTGTCGAATCTATTTGTGTCGGGCCGTTCAACATTTCCACGTCGATAGGTTGCAGTGATTCTTGGTTCACAGAGGGAAGATTGGCTGATGCACCTTGAGCGAGCCTCTCACTCTCTGTTGCCACTGCCTCATGAGTTTCCTGAAAATGCAAGAAAAAGTTATGGGAAAAAATCCGGAAGCAGAAATATAACGGACCTCAACTGTTCTAACGAAACGCCGATAACGCTTCTTCAGATCAGAGAGTATAGGCCCTAACCGAACGGTTAATGTGACCAGAGTCTGACGATCTTTCTCTGCCTGAGCCGCAACCTCTGCGGCAGATGGCTGTCTGGGTGGTAGAGGAGGTGCCGGAGGAAGGTGCTCGAGAATTCTTCTTCTCCGTTTCACAGCATCTGGGAACTCGTTCGGCGGTCTCGACACCTCACTGAGAACATCACTGAAGAACTCTGATCGCTGGGACTCGGTTGGTTTAGTTAAGGCTATCCGCCCATCTAGCGAGTAGCCAAACCATTCTCGAATGTCTCGTGGCAAATGATGGAAGTCACCGTTCATGACGCCAAACAAGAGGATGGGATCAGTTGGGGAAAGGGAGTCGAGCATTTCTCGCATGGTCGTCCGGGCCACGTCGGATATAGAAACAGCCCAACCGGCAAGAGAAGGGATGAAGATTATTGAAGGCTTGTTCCTCTTTGCCTCCACGAGAAGCTGAACAATCGCAGCTTCCACAGACTTGATATCAATTAAGCACAAGAACGATGATATCAGTGACAAGGCACTTACACGCGTAGAATCGCTTAGTAACGAACCCAGGTCTAAGCTCTGCACATGAAAACCTTCCAGATGGTGCAGCGCAGCTGGTCCAAGATAAGACTGGCCCATGCCAGGTGCTCCATGGACCAGAAGACGTGGTCTATACACCCTAAGACTCTCCATAGCTGGTCGCCATCGCGGTTAGCTCATACGATATAACTCCACTTCGTTAAACCCACCTTGAAGTCGAAGCTCGCGTGTCAACCCACCATCATCGTCATCATCTTCCCATTCAGCCTCTTCCAACGCATTGCGAGCCTTGATGGATGGCATCGTTCGTGAGAGAAATTCTTTTATACGAGAAAGGGTTCCATCTAGAAGAGCAATAAGCTGTTTCGGGAGGGGTGCTGCTGCAGACGCCGTGGACCTTTTAGACGAGGGTATGAGCTCTGGAAAATACAGGAATTGAGCACCAATCCAGGTTTCCACCAAGTGAGTCTTACTTTTCACAGACATCATAAAGTCCTTTGGGAGCACACGAATATTGTCTGGGTTTACCAGCAGACGATCTCTGGATTTGTATATCTGCGGGTAAGTTCGTTGCACAGCATTCAAGGTCGCTTCTGTCGCCAAAGCCTGCCAAATGGGAGTCAGGCTGGTCATAAATGAACTCGAAAAGCACACACTCGAAGATCAGCACCACCATAACCTTTCGTTGCCTCAGCCATTACTTGAAGCATTCTCTCCCCTTCCACGCTGTCCCTTTCCCACCCTTTCCATCCCGAAGTGAGAATTCGAAGAATCTGCTTCCGCGCCCGAAGGTCTGGCAAGGGGAAATAGAATTCACGGTCAAAACGACCCGGTCTTCGTAGAGCAGGATCTACAGCGTCCGGTCGGTTGGTGGCCCCTATAACAATAACTTGACCTGGTTGCAATAAAGATGAGAATTCAGGGCACTAGGTGTTGCATTGTAAAGCAATATCACCTCGTCCGTCCATACCATCCATGAGAGCCAGGAGTGTCGAAACGATACTAGCATGAATTTGGTCTTGCTTACTGCTCCGAACGGGTGCTAGACCTTCAATAAGAGGGTCAACAGGCGCTAGTGAGGCTCTCCTGCCGATGATTCTTACCATCGATCTCGTCAAAGAAGATTATGCTTGGCTGACAATTTCTTGCTTCATCAAAAAGCAGCCTTAGTTGCCGCTCAGCCTCTCCGACCCATTTTGACAAAATATCGGCGCCCTTTCTCATAAAGAAAGCTCGATTGGGGATGAGTATGAGGCTATTCGTATGCGGTGAAGAGCTGACCAACCTATATTTCTACCTCCACTTCTCGAACTAGCTGCCAGCGCCCTGGCCAGAAGCGTCTTTCCCGTACCCGGTGGACCATGAAATAAGACGCCTCGCGGGGGGTAATTTTGAACTGTTGAAAAATCTCGGGGTAGAGTAGGGGAAGAGAAACCATTTCTTTGAGTGAGGCTATGTGGTCATCGAGGCCGCCGACCTGGTCAAATGTGACATTAACGTTCGGCCCTAGTGGATCCGTGTCGGCGAGCGCTGCCAGGTCCCAAACATTCAAAAGAGCCTCAGCGAACAACGAGCGATAACGTACCACTGTCTTTACTAATCTTTCCAAAGTTTGCGGGGCCACCCGCCGCAGCTGCTATGTCGGTCCCGCTTTTGAAACTCCCCGTACCTATCAGCCCTCCTGCACTACTACCTGCACCTCCCGCAAGGTTAGCTTTCATCGCTTGCGCATTAGGATCATCAGAATCGGAATCATCCACGAGTGGCGGGGGGCCGGCAAGGTTGAGGGTGTCCCAAGTATTCCTTGGCTGCCTGTCCTAGTAAACCCAACGCGAGACTTGCTCTTGACGTTGCTGCGGACATTCTTAACTTCGGCCTGGAGGCTCGCAAGCTGGTCATTGTCCAGGAGGGGTGGGATCTGATAGTTAACGGTTTTTCTTTGTGGTCGGAGGGTATATCCACGGGGGGAGCTTAGAATGGAGATTCTTCGTGATCGAGTGGTCTGCTGAGGAGGTGGTGTGGGTGAAAGCGAGGTGATTGGTGCATCATCTACATGACTCAGGTCGAAATCGGAATCGGAAGCTTCACCCTTTGGGCTCAACTGGAATTCTGCTTCGCCATCGTCATTCTTGATGGACTTTCCTCGATTACGGGCTCCCCGGGAAGGTCGTTTGGGCTGAGGGGCTGCAGTACGAGACGGAGCCGCAGATTGGACTCTTCGCGAAGACCGACGAACACCATATTCTGCATCGGACAGCACATCCCCATCATCATCCTCATCCCTCTCAATGAAGTCGTCCCCCCTTGACGCGTATCTCTGCGACCGGCGAGTTCGCGTCTGTGATCGTGCTAGTGACTTCCGGGAAAGATCATCCTCGTCCTCATCATCACTAAGATCTTGATACTTTGCTATAATCGGTCTCCCAGAGCGAGAATAGCGTGGCTCGATGGTTGGCTGAGATTGAGAATCCTCGTCGCTTGCCGGGACGCGGTTCCTATTCCGACTGCGAAGCTCCCGTACAGGACGCTGACTGTATGGGTCATTTGGTTTAAGAGCTGACGTCGCCGAACGAGTTCTTCGGGTAGCGGGTTCCGACATCTCAGAGAATAGGTCAAAGTCGGCAGGTTGAAGTTGATGCCGTCCGTGTTCGGGGGATTGGTGAGGTTTGACTATTTTAATCTTGATCCCAGAAGGCTTCCTGTCTTTAGAGGAGTGCTCGGAATTATATTCGTCCTCGCCGTCGCCGTCCTCGTCGGCGTACTCAGAGCCAGACTTCACAAAAAAACCTATGCCTCTTGTTTGTTGATGCTGAATTTGGTAGTATAAGTGATCCTCTGGAATTTCCGCGTCTGCTGGATAACTTCCGTCCATAAGAGATGGTGGAGAGCTAACTTGGACCCTGTTCGTTAATGCAGTCTGATGAGACACATGAAGTCATCCTGGCCTACCGACGAGTTCCCGCCCTTTGTTTGGGTTACGCGTTGTAATCAATAGTGCGGGATGTAGATAAGCCTTGGCAATGTCCCATTCATATGCCTCGACGGGCTAGGTATAGTCAAAAGAACCTGCTCCGGTCACGACGACACGTTACGGATGAACCCAATAGAATCGGTCCTCGGAATGTCAGACCCAGCTACGGTGGCAATAGCCGGCCATGATCACCTGATGATGCCCCAAACGCCCAGCGCCCGATTTCTGCTTGTCCTTACGCAACCCTCTATAGCCCATGGGCATGCCTGAGGTTGTTCTGCGGCACAATTCTTTTCTGGTGCGTAGATTTAGTTCCGCATCTCTGTCTAAGGGCGCAAGGCGGCCAAGTGTGTTAGACCTTGGAAGGCAAAAAGGAGATTCATACTGCGCATCCCATCCAGGAAAGCGGTTCTACATCGGTTTTCCCAAATGTCCGACTGTTTTTATTGTGCCCTCATTTCTTTCCCCTAAAACACGGATTACGCTGTATCTATTGCTTGGTCCCACCCTCAACGCACATCCCTTTGGCTCGGATGCTTCTCCATGCTGACGCTCAGGTACAGAATCCGACTGTGAACACATCATGGGCTATTTGGGACCTTCCCAGATGCACGCAACGCATGCCCGAATGCTGTAATGAGGCTCCTCGAGGACGTTGATTATCAGGCTTCTATATTCACGATCAAGTCTAACTCGCACCCAGCAACCCAACGAAGCGACACAACTCCCTATGGAAGCTGATTGCCTACGGAGCAGTTCAAAGCAAAAAAAAAACTTTGGACTTGACCAGAGGTCGATACGAGTGGCCCACTCATTCGAACTTGAGAGGATGTCCACGGCGTCAACTCCCGGGGCCAGGGTTATATGTGGTCTACATGTGTGTTTTGGAAGCATTTGTCTAGCAGTTTTTGCCCCCTGATCATCCAAGATATATCATTCCTTGCATATTCGATTACAGTCGCCCTTTACGCCATTATCAGGTTAATCTGCGAAGATGAACCTTGCCCATAGGGAAACTGAATACGAAATGGGATCCTTAGTGCTGTACGCAAGTGATATCCAACTGTATACAATGCAAACCCCAAACATGTCACTTCTAGAGCCAGCTGTTGCAGGACATGAGAAACTAATGCATCATGAAGACGACAAGGACAACACTTTCAGGTGCTGTGGAGAACGGGTGATCAATTTAATGTGACCCCGGCAGCCAATTGAGTCTGATAGGACGAGTGTAACCAAAGACACATACATACTAGTGTTTATGTCATGATAATGCGATTGGATACACATAGGGGCTTCGCGGTCTACTTCAGCTGGGGTTCGTCTCAGGTAGGGGTAACTGAATGGCCAGAATACCCGGCGAATAGTTCAACATGTCCCCGCTTCGTTTCGACCTCGGAGTCGTTCCCACAAGACCATCCCCATCACTAGCGGGCTAAACAAATCCACATATGGGCTGATTCCTATACCCACCTCATCAGCGGCGTTTGCCACCGCTGTACTCCACTGACTAGCCCTATCTAGATAATTCAAGCATTTCCTAAATCTGGCACCGTATTCCAAAGTTTCTCCTTCTTGAGGTTTCGTGGCTGGGTGGCCATAGTCAAATGAACGAGTGACATCGTAGGTGGACCCGCATATTCGATTGGCTAGCGCAAAATAGGAACGCGAAATCGGTAGTGAGGAGATGTTGGTATTGTTGGCGGAACCAGTGATGTGCTTATGTAGGGTCGTATTTAGCACAACGACGCTCTTAAACACGTTCGGCATCCCTTGAGCGAAAAAAGGATTCGTGCCTAAGGGAAAGCTCACCGTCAATACACAGTTATGTGGCCATTATGGAAGTGGGTATCGTACACATGGCGGAATCTCCGATGGCTACGAAATTGTTGGGGGTAGGTGCCGATAAATAGTCAAGGTAATACGAGGGACGCTTTAAAAAAAAGAAACTAAGGATATTGCCAAAACATTGGACCACCCGAATACACACCATTTTAGAAGAAAGGATTTGAATCTTGTCATCCACTTGACTTTCTCGGAGAAGGTCAAATAGGGCATAAACCCAAAGAGAAATCTCCTTCAGCGACGGATTGAGCTTGAATAATTTCTCATGCGTGTCACGAACAGCTAGGTCGAGCTGAGCAAGATTGCTGGGTGGCTTCACGTCGCCTAAAGCGACGTAACTGATAAGCACTAAAAATAGGAAAGTATGTTTATGTCAAGTACGAATATAGAAATACAGACACACATTCATTATCCAGAACCTTCTGGATGAAGATCCCTTCCTTTGGACCTCCGCTGCCGGCTTTATCAATACGAGGGGCTTGGGCGTATAACGTTCTCAGTCCGGCCCAATTTCCACAGTTGGGGTCATTCCGCGGTACTAGGCCAGCAATTCGGTGCTTCAACTTCTCGTCCTTCACGGGAACATAAAAGCACCTGTACATGGCGTCCGGAGCATAGGAACGGCGAGTATATGGGCCCCAGCGTTGCGCCACTGCAGCCTCTGTGGAACCAGCCTCTAAGCGATTGCTATTCGCCCGGGGAAGCAATTTGAATGCTATTGCACTTCCTCCACTGCAATCCGCAAAAAACACGCAGGGTATTGTGACAGTTTCAGCTGATCCCATCGAAGGCCTGTAGGACACGGCAGAGATAGCAGCCGAAGATGGCGTGGAAGCATGCAAACTGGTAACGGTTCCTTGTATAGCCTCCAAAGAATCCCCTGCGTAAGAGGCAGCAAGTTCGCGCAGGACCCTTTCCAGTCTAACATGGACGAAGATTATTAACTTCGGGAGACCCAAGATAATCAACTTGATCACTCACATGACCCTCTGATACTCAAACCCAGGGAGTGCTGCCGTGGGCCTGCGGTTCCAGGACGTACCCAATATCCCCCTTCGGAAGAAAGGGTGAACCTTACAGCCCATCTTTGCGGCCACCTCATCAAAATTTGAATAGAGTGCTCGACAGATGATAATCATCAGTGGCAACACGACATGGCAGTGACCACGCTGAGCAACACGCGTTGCGGTTCTCTCGATTCGGTAATCCGGCTCAATGATAACAATGCGTGCAAAGTAATCGGACAGAACACGAGCAGTTGCATATCCTGCAATGCTGGGGAATGATAAAGACACGACAAGGGACTGTAGCGAGGTAGGAACTTCTCTCAAAGTGGGACTTACCTTCCTCCAGCCACCACTGCTGTTCCCTGAAGCTTTTCCCATCGCGTTTGGGACGGAGAAGCCTGAGCTGAGGGATAACCATCGTCGTGTTGATGATGTAATTACGAAGCGCCGTCCATACAAGCACGGATACGATACAGAGAGAAAAAGCAAATAATAACATGCCTGTTCCACGCATGATGTGTGTCCGGCTCATGAGAAGATGGATCAAACTCGAATTTCTTCTAGTGAACTAGGGGTTCGCCGGAGGCGGTCTGTTTATGGTTATCCCCAGGAGACCGTACCAAAGATGTTCCAGGCGTTGCGCTATATGTTCCCCAGGTAATGAGGGGATACTCGAGTACCCGATGACCCACGTTTTATATCCAGGGTATCGTGCTATGCGTTTCCTTGGTTTCCTACTTTAGACAACCCATTCCATTCAGCATGATAGGAACACATATCATTTGCTTCTGCATCAGTGAAAGAAGCACGTGGAGACGAGTGTTTATGAGATCATGATATCAGAGTTGATTATGAGAGACGGGCAGTTGGATGTAGGAACTACCATTTCTCCCGTGAAAAATTAATGGAAGGGCACGGCATGGCATACCAAGGACCAGTTGATGGCAAGGCGACACGATACCGTCTAATGGGTTAGTCCATCGGGGGAAGTGACTTCAGGATGAAGGTGAGCAAAGCAGTGAAAAGGTTCGTTTTAGAGTTTGACCGCATGAACATTACAGCATCACTCATTCCCATATTCGACGGGCCTTTCAACTGGAGCGAAAAAAAAAAAACCGAATCAGTCTTCTTTATCGACTTGTCAGAGGGCCTAACTGAGCAGGAGACTGAGCGCGGAAATCCGTCGCGGCGGAACTTTCCGGCAAATCGTCGATCATCTCTTCTTTTGTACGTGTGCCATGGTTCGATTTAAAGAATGGGTATTGCACTTCGCACGGACATTTACTCCCATTGACGAGTTCGCGCTGGCACAATTTCAAGTGTACTTCACGATCTTAGCCCTACTGTGTGTCTTCGTTCTTACCAACAGATTCCCGATGGAGGCTAAAATTAGGGTGCCGCGGTTCAACCGAACCGTGAACCAGAGTTCGGAACTTGGTTCTCTCAGTTGGGTATTGCGAACGGGTTCGAACCGAACCACCGAACCACGGTTCGGAACTGGTCCTCTAAGTTGGGGTTATTGCAAACGGGTTCGAACCGAACCGAACCGCAGAACCATCGAAGGATTAATTGCACCATGATATTGCGTACACATTCATAAAGTGTTTTGTTCGCGGCTTCAGGGATCAGGGTAATCCTGGCAGCAAAGCCTACCAATGGGGACCTGAAAGCGGGTTCCATACGAACCAAAAATTACATCACTCGATTGGGACGGAACCGAAATGCGGTTTTCTGGTTCTCAAAAAATAGTCCCAGAACCGAACCGAACCGGGGCCCTAGGCAGGATCCCAGCCTCTACTAAAGTAGACCGGACCCCCTAGCTAAAATAGATAACTGGGGAACGCCACCTGAAGCGGCAGATCTCGCTACTTTTACCTCGCATGCATGTTCACTCTCAACGTTACTATTGGCCGAGATGAAGCCCGAGATTCACTCTCGCTCTGTAAACCCACCGCATACTCTGATAAGTTCAGGACTACGTAATTTACACTGCAGCTATGCAGCAAGCGGAATAGAACTGTATGGGGCAGAGAATGGCCCTTGGGGTTGGGGGTCATACAGGACCCTGTGCATAGGACAATTGAGTTTGGGAGAAAAAAACGTAGGACCCGCTACGGAGTAGCGGGAATTGGTTAGTGAGTTGGGAGGACCCTGGGTTATGTAGAATTGGCAATAATAGAGGACCTTGTCATCAAACGCATTCAATCAGGGTGCTACAGAGTAAGTAGTAGAATGTATTAAGTGGTGCGGTGTGTGAGGGATGCTATTGATTGAAAGGCTCCGCCTACGTTTCGTTGTCATGTTTTCTCTTCAAATACTTCTTTTTGGGAACAACCACCTTATGTGTCGAATCAACCAGGGTGAGAATGGTGCATCCTCAACCAAAGTGGATGATACAAACCACTGTCGCCTTCCGTCCTGTGCCGAACTTGGCGGACGCTGTTGCAGATTCTAGTAAAGTTGGTTGTTCCAACTGTTGCTTGAAGTGACTGTTTGGACAGGGATGAGAAGAACTCCTCCGGACCAATATAAACAACGGCACTCTTGTTCCGTGCCTCAGTCCTCATCACAAGGCAGATCGGACTCAGGATATCATTGAGATATATATTTTTCGGGACACAAAGTCTGCCATGGCCACGAATCACTTAAAGATAGAGGACATATGATGGGCCGATAGATCCTGTGGAGCCCTACATTAGCTGAGATGCACTGGTACGTCATAGGAATAGACATTAACCTTCCCACTCCGTTTCCGGTCCGACGCCCGGCCTAGTACGACAGCTTAGAGGAAATCCACAGCAGCGGATTCACGTACATCCTCTGTTGGCTCTCCGGGTTACCGTAGATCTGCGCGGCCGTTCGTACGAGGGAAGGTTGTGCGGTCTTCTGGAAATGAACCACCACGGACTTCATAAACGCCGTGTCCAGAACTTTCATCACCATAGCACCCTTTTCCATGAGTCATCATTGGCGAACAGCGCTCATGATGAGGGTGAGGAAGAAAACTTCCACATATTCACATAGCAAAGATATTTGAACCACGGAGAATAGGGAGAGGAGCTCCAAGGTAGAAATTCGGTCACTCTCGAACGTGTAAAACCAACCCTTGGCTGGCGATGTCATAGTGTTCTTGAGCCTGTTTGTGCCATGGGGATAATCTAGCACGAACTGCAAGGTCAATTTTCGTCAAATGCTCCTGGACTGCTGGGACTGGCAGGTGGCCATGTGCTCAGCAAATCAATAAAGCGGCGTAGCCCAAGATCGACATTGATACGAATGGAAGATTCGTGTCTATCCTCAACGAAGAAGAGCATGTATTGGAAGCCACGCTGTATGCAACAAAGAACGGTTATACGCATCCTCATTAATGCATCGGGTCTTCGTCCAAAGTCCGGGATATTCTTTGTGCTCAGATACGAATTGAGCGCATCGACCAGTTTTGCAGTAGTCTCCAATGACCAATCCCCCGCCACATAATTGTCGAAACTCTTCCCCCAGTGCGTCTCGTGTGGTACGCTTGCACGGAGATTGAAACAACCTCGATATGCATTGAAATGCATCATTCCCAAACCGACTACTCATATTTTGACAATCTGGAATAAACCAAACCAGCGTTTCCATAATCTGAATCAGGCTGAGCTGGCATGTTTTTGGAAGCGATTCCCAGAGCATTGAAAAAAAGAGACATTCCGCCTGACTTGGGTCCTGGATGAATGGGGATAAGATACTGACGCCCCACAGTAGAAGAACTGCTCGTGCGATGCGCGGCCAAGTATGTGAGCCGTTCCATCAGGTAGGTCACATTTGAAACTGCAGCAAAACGAAGATTGTTGACCAAGTGTTCAATCACGGCTTGGGCGAGATCGAGCACTTTCATGATCTCCATGGGTTTTGTATCGGGGCCACCCAAAAGTTGAAAAACGGTTGGGAGAAGGTCTGCATCGTAATCGACTGAAAAGTGTTCGGTAAGGGGAACGTTCAGGCCCTTATTCGGAATCTTGTCCTCGGCAATCTCCGCTATAGTAATCCGGTTAAGAGAGAAATACAACTAATGTTTTGGGTCGAGACGAAAAACTAGGCAACTCCTGTGCACTTGGTAAAATCCTCCACATACATTCCGGATACCAGTCCCTTATGAGGCTGATTTACAAGAACCACGAAGCTCCGAAACTCTAAACATTGACTTATGTAATATGAGACCTGCACGTTCGAAGCCTTAAAGCCCCATGTGACTGAAGAAAGATTTTTGGTTAGATTTGAGTCTTTCTCATTTGCAATGAGAACAAATCACATTTGCCTTTCCAAGCTCATCTGTAATATCCTTGTCCGTGCCACCTAGGCACCACAGCACAGGCGTCCTCGCTCAGTCACCATGGATGTTAGCTTGAGCGGGAATGCACCAACGGGCCATAATTTGGTCGAGAATTACTTTATTAACCCTGCCCACATTCTTCGTTGTAATTATTACACCGATGTACCACGCGGAAAGGGACCAGCAAGAAACATCTTTGGAGACACCACATCTCTCGGCGCTCTGCCTCTCGCGTTCATCGTCCCCGTTGGAGATAGAATCTCATCCCAGCCAGTTCCAGACTCATGTGTACCGGCATTCACTCCATTCGCACCATGAATGTTCTTTTTTGCTTGCCCGACCTCCAACGATCCCAATCCTTTCTCCAAGTCATCTTCTGGTCTATTCCTTAGGACCCTAATCCTGGGGCTCCATGCTCTTCGATCCCTCCCTTCGATCACTGCTCGGGAAGCTTCGCTTGCTTCTGTTGAGTCAGTGTAGCTTTTGAACGTCCGAATGGCCGTCGCGAAGTAGACTAAACCGAGGACGAATGTGAAAGTGACAAAGATGCGAGGACCGATCGCAGCAGTGGATGATATGGACGATGGAGGGTTGACAGTGCCTGAGGTCCACACAAATGCGAGAATAGAGATAATGAAGCTAACGAGAGACCAGCAAAGAAACACCGCTGGCATGGAGAGAAAGACCCAGACGTTCCAAATGATGGAAGCTGTTGTTCCTTCAGCTGCTTCCGCCCATTGGCTAGCGTTCCTCATAGAACGCATCGTCTGAAAACTAAGAGTCGAGGGGGTTTTGAGACAGTTGCATGATTTCTCGAAGACGAGCAGCGCACCGAAGAATGAATATACATCCCAACATCAGGCTCCACATAGCGCTGATCAAGGAAACAAGTGCAGCCGTTCGTGTGATTGGTTCATCTGACGCATCAGTCTGAAATATTGTCAAAATTGCTCTATCCCATGTCATCGAATGAGGCGTATCCGGAGGACTGGGGTAAAGACTTACGAAAGCAGAAGAGCTGAAACTACGTTCAAAGTTTTATCCTCTTTCAATATAGAATCTACAAAGTCTTCCCAAGCTTCTTTAAAGCCTAGTATCCAGAGTCTCAAATGTTAGGGAATGCAAACAGAAGGATAACTGATCACTCACGAATCAAGGCTGGTGGAACGTTGTTGGGATGCCAATTTCTTTCTTTAAGGAACGAAGACCCCCCCAACTCAACCATCCTCTTTAGCTCTGGCTTGCTTATCTCAGCGTATTCAAATACTCGGCGAACTCTTCCAAAGTAAACGGATGGTAGACGGAACAGCAGCAGCAGATAGAGTTGGCGGAAAAAACGATCAATATAGAAGGTGATTCTTTTTGTCAAACCATGGTGCTCGCAATCACGGTCGAACTGATAGGGGTCTACAGGTACGAACGCATCATCATGGGAGTGGGAACGGGAGATAGGCCAGAAGCGACGGGGAGATACGCTGCGGGTAGGAGAACGTTCTTGATTCTGCCTTTGCGTGTTCGCTGGGATGCTTGACGCGGGAGCTATAAAGAGGGGGCGAGGTGAGTGTGAGCGTCGAGCGCGTTCGAGGGCTTAGAATCCATAACGCACTTGTAGTTGTCTGCGCAACTTCCGCGGGGCGAGTTGACTCGAAAGAAACTCGCTTAGGAGTGTTTGTTGGGGAAGAAGTTTTCTGCATTGGAGTTTCTGACATCGCTGACTGGACCCTTTTATGTGTGGGACCACTTCCAGCAGTTAGGAGTCCAAGCGCGTTTGGTCGTTGGATCGGTGAATGAGGGGGTGATTTGTCGTATACGTTAGTGGGCCCAGCAGTGAGATTGTTTTCGTTGTCTGCTAGTGACCCTGAGCCGTCTGTTCCCGAGAGGAGAATACGCGCAATTGATGTGAGTCGTTCGCGAGTGCGAAGCGTGTGTGAGCTGTCTAGAAATTATGAGCGCAACCATACACGAAATGCAAAACCACTAAAATGATATTGAACCTGTGTCTGGCTGATTCTCCGCAGAATCCTCAGAAATGGTAGGGAAGCTAGCTACACGCCGAGGCAGTCTAGGGGCGCCATGCTTGGGAGAACGCTGAGGGGATGACATAGCAATGGTACAAGATTTGACCGCTGACGTTAAATAGTCTCCCAAACGCGCAGGGGCCAAAGGGGCAACCCCTAATGCTCCGGAGCAGTGGGACACCAGAGCCCAACCTCCTTGGCGGAACCAGATATTGTCAATATAAATTTGGGATGTCGAGGGCTCGATGCAAACATACAACAATAGAGGAAGTCTAAATTTTGCCTATCGCGGCAAGTATCTCACGTTGAAGCAAACTACGGCGAAGAACACAAATGGAGATTTCAGAATCGGTCTCCAATGTCCGAATTTAATTATCGTATAACTGGTTGACGCCGCCTGTCGCGGCAAGTGCCCGCTACTCTGCCCACATTTGGCAACAAATATGAAGGAAGGGCAGAGGTGGAAATGGATGGGGAGCTGCGGAATGATAATCACCATGCAACATTGCAGTGTCATCTGTATTGAGAGGCGGGTTGTGGGGACACGGCGGACGAACGGCGAGCTTCACCGCAAATGACACAAACGAAGGAGATCAAACGATTTGATGACAGCAGCAAATAGTAATTCTTCAGATTTGAACGACAACTGCTCTGGTCAACGAGAAGCACAGCTCTTTTTCAAGTAATAATCATTACCTGCATTGCCAGTATTAGAACGTTCACATTCCGTGGCGCGGAGAGGTAATACGGAGTGTATTGTAGCAGGTTGCAAACGTGAATGATCAGTGAGGTTGTACAGAGACAAAAACTGACGTAAAATCCGTTCTCGAAAATGCGCATAACGGAACGAATGAAATATGCTCGATTGGGAGGTTGTTGCGCAGTGGGAGCGGTAGAGGTAATACAGCGGGAAAGCGCTGCAGTGGCGCTTCGAGTGGTCAGTGTTAACTAAATCACAGGGGCCATCAACGGCGATAATGGGCGAAGAGGTTATGACGTGGTTGGGATCGATTAAGCATCGCATGAGTAAGTAGGTGGTGAAAACGACAAAGAGCAATCGAATTTACACAATTTGTCGAGACCACGTAGCACAGCAAGGGTGTTGAGACTGAAGTTGTACAAAGTGCCATAGAATGTCCACGAGTGCATCATCTGTTAAGCATGAGCATTCGTCTGAGAAAGAGAGGTGCTGGTTGATTTCTTGTCTGCAGACGAGTATGAGGGAGCAAAGAAGAGAAAAACAGAGAGAACATATCAGCTCTGCACGTAGTACTCCGACAGTCTGCACCCACAACACGACGCACCAGACATAGTCGTGTATTGTTGATCGTTAAAGTTTAGACAGGAACACCGGCCATAGAGAAGGGTCAGATGTGGGATTTGACGCTGCGGGTGGGCGTCAAAAAAGAGAAAGGTTGATGCGCTGGGAAGAAGCGGTTGGGGCCAACTGATGGGAGACATGCTTGTTGACATCGGGTTAGTGACGCAGAGGCGTAAGCGGGGAAGGGAAGGGACAATATCAATGCTCAAGGCACGTTTATGTATGTTACAGCCGAAAGCGGATAAAGGGATAAAGGACCCTGTCCGTCGGAAGTATTCATTTGGAATTTTCAAATCATTTGAATAAGTTCCTGAGTTGGGGACACATGTCTCCACCCCTTCTGTCGCTGGGCGCTTAGCCCTTTCAAACATCAAGGGCATTCCATTTTTCAGAGCCTCATCAGGTTTGTGTCTTGAGCTCATGACCTCCATTGTGCACGGAGAACCAACCGAATTAGGCGTCGACGCGACTCGCTTCCCTGTTCATGGGTCTGGTCTAATAATATCCACTCTGGAACGTCCCACTTCTCCCTGCGGTGAGACACAAGCTGATCCAGTGCCCATCGTGAGGACACAACCTGCGTCGCCGCGCATCGATTCTTCCGGAGCGGTTTTCCACGAAGATGATGAAGCACTGCTTTCCACCTCATTACCGTCCTCTGCGCATCCGTCTTGGTATGACTCATGTAATGGGGGTACGTCGATGTGTCATGGTATCTCACTTTCCCTCCGAGTAACATCGAACCATCAGGGTTGCACAAGTTCCTTCAGGCTACCAAATCGTCACCCTCTGGGAAATCAACCTCTTCCAGTAAAGTGTATTATGGTCATGCAGCCGGGAGATTACATTCATCCCCCACCACTCCTTCTACGGCCAGCCTATCTTCAGGAATGGTCCTTGATATGGTGCCTCCGAACTTACCCAAGTTCCATACTACAGCAGAGGACCTCACCGAGAGAATCCAACCACGCCAAGCCATTGCTCTGGGTGGTTACTCCCATGTGTGGAGGGGTTTGTGGAGAAAATCCGAGGGCGAACTGGTCGACGTGGCCATTAAACGTTTGCATGCAATGGATGCCACCTGGACACCCGAAGAGCAGCAGAGGAAAGCATTAAAGGCAAGTGTTTCGTTCAGTCGCTTGCGTTGCACTTATTTACGTCTCGGTTTGGTAGCATTTGCTCCGCGAAATGAAGGTTTGGAGGTTCCTTGAGCATCCCAATGTGGCTCCATTTTATGGTTATATGTGGGAAGAGATAATAGTTGGCACCTTCACTGCCAGCATTGTCACCCTGTACTACAAAAATGGGCACGTGTACAACTACCTCAGGAACCAACGCCATGCGGATCGTATGCTACTGGTGAGCACTTCGAGGAAAATGTCGGAGCTCAATACTTATTTCGTGTGATCACAGTGTCATGGTGTCGCCAACGGTATCGCATACCTACATTCTCGACCTCATCCGGTAGTGCATGGGGACCTCAAAGCTGTAAATTACCGCTTATGCCACAAGTTGCTTTTGCTGATTCAATCTTCAGTATAACATTCTGGTGGATGATAATGGACATGCCATTATTTGCGACTTTGGCTTGTCACAGATGCTCGACAACTCTGCCAGCGGCTTCACGTCGTCTGTACTCGGAGGAACAACGAGGTATCTTGCGCCAGAACTCACACATGGCGAGGCTCGGACCGCTGCAAGTGATATGTACTCATTTGCCTGTGTTTGCATGGAGGTTCGTTATAATATCACTGCTCGATTTCTACTACTAATTCGCCGCTCAGATTTTGCACGAAGAGATACCATACAATGACATCAAGTACGACACTCCAGTGAACAGGGCGATCGACGAAGGCACTCTCCCCTATGATTTACTCCCGCTTGTGTATTCCGCCAATCCTGACTCAAACATGCCATCGTATCGAGAGCCAAAATCACCACTCCCAGCCAGCCTGATCGAGCTTTTTCACGCCTGCTGGGAAAGGGATCCTTATGACCGTCCGGGTATCGAATATGCGATCAATCATCTACCCCCTGTTGCAGCCAAAGCAGACGATGCGGAACGGACTCATGGAGGTCTCGACGCTGACGGGAGCGACTTTGAGCATGCCCTCGCCCGGGCCACAACTCCAATCACAGGTGACGCATCCGTCTCAGATTGGCCTAGTTTGGAGGCGACACCCCGAGAGCATGGGCGAACGCTTCTGTTGGAATTGAATGAGCCTGAAAGAATAAGCAAGCCCATAACCAGGACAAATGAGTCGCCAGCACCAGGTCCTTCAAACCCAGGACCCGTGTACCTGGATGGTTCTGCCGCCCATGTATGTCCCCGGAGATAACACAATCCCCAGCAATTATTGACGGTGTCTCATGCAGCGTCCCTTTAACACATCCAAAATATCTGGGTTCTTCAAATCTGTCAAAGACAGGATCATCAAATGAGATTGTCATGGTCTACGACGCACAACTTGCGTGACGCCACCAGCCTGACCATTGTTTGTAAACGGGCCCTATTTGTGTGGAATAGCGCAATGTTGTTTTCTCCTACTTGTTGTGCCCACAATTAACAACGAATGGACGAGACAGCAATGTCGTCATTTTCCATTACATGTTGGAGCAGCCCCGTTCGTCACCTAAGTTTACTCAGGGGGAGAATCAAGATTTATCATCTGAACAAACATGACCATTCCGAAAATTGGTTTGTGGGAAGTCGTGTATTGATATCCGGAGTGTTTGAGCTCCCCCCACCATGGTAGAAGCACTGTGTTCTTCACCGAGTGACAATCACAACGTTGACCAATCGAGGTCACTAGGCAAGCCGCACGCTACACGAATAATTGCATTAGCACACCGCTTCATTTGATTTATGATCGTTGTATACTAGAACCGCGCAAGCTTGATCAGAGTGTTAAACAATTAAGTAAGGAAAATCGACATTGTTTCAGCCGAAAACAGGGAAAGCGGTCGTGGAGCAGGTCCATCTCAAAATGGACACACGGTGGTAGGAGGCGGGTATGTAGTTGTGCGTCACACAGTTATTGTCAGAGTTGGTGGCAACCCAGACTCGTACCCAGTCGGAGGAGCTCCGTGGACGCGCAAAATAATAGCTTTTTTACGCAATGTAAATAAATGTTCTCACACTAGACCTGCTTCCGATTAAAGTCACGTTCTGTACTCAATACAATAGATCACATGGTACGGAGTTAAACACATAGCCGATCACCTACTCCGAAACTTGCCCGCGACACTTCGCTCCTCCGACTGGGGCAAATTGTAGATGGCTGTGCTACGGCACTTTCCGGCCTCTGTCCTCCCACGGTAAACAATGCTCGCTTCAAGGCTCTAATCACCACACCCCTCCCCAACCTAACACAGAAAAAATCCGAAACAAATGTAGTAGTTAACCCCACCCAAAATTGACCCAGCCCAACCCAGCCCAACCCGATTCATGGGCTTTTTGTCCTTATGTGCTCAAATTATGTTGGAGTTTTGTATCGCGCGCTCAGCACTTTGTTGAGCCCAGTCAAGGGAAATACATGGTAGACCTACCTAATCATAGCCCAACCCTGTTTTGCAAAATTGACTCGAAGTGGTACACAAATCCCAAACAATACACAATGATTTTCGTGAGGTCCATTCCAAAAGATATATAGAAGATAATAAATATGGTCATGTGTTGATCACTACAGTATCCCCACCCAAGAAATTAGCCGATGAGGTGAAAAAGAATATTATTTTGAGCGCGCGATACAAAACTCCAACATAATTTGAGCACATAAGGACAAAAAGCCCATGAATCGGGTTGGGCTGGGTTGGGCTGGGTCAATTTTGGGTGGGGTTAACTACTACATTTGTTTCGGATTTTTTCTGTGTTAGGTTGGGGAGGGGTGTGGTGATTAGAGCCTTGAAGCGAGCATTGTTTACCGTGGGAGGACAGAGGCCGGAAAGTGCCGTAGCACAGCCATCTACAATTTGCCCCAGTCGGAGGAGCGAAGTGTCGCGGGCAAGTTTCGGAGTAGGTGATCGGCTATGTGTTTAACTCCGTACCATGTGATCTATTGTATTGAGTACAGAACGTGACTTTAATCGGAAGCAGGTCTAGTGTGAGAACATTTATTTACATTGCGTAAAAAAGCTATTATTTTGCGCGTCCACGGAGCTCCTCCGACTGGGTACGAGTCTGGTGGCAACCCACGTCTGGTGGCGAAACTGATTACGTAATCGCCAATCAAACCCATGCTCACTGACTGAGAGCGGCGAATACCACCATTATTTCACTCCACTACTGGCACCCTGTTGGATCAGCGTTGTCTCGCGCTTTAGTGTTTCTTTTCAGCTTGGATTTCAAGTGCTCGTTATGGATGGTAATTTCGCCGAAATTCAAGTTTGAATTCCTCGATGGCTCCAGCTTTTTCTATTCCTTCGCTGCTCTAGTTCGCTTCTCAATTCCCTTCACCCTTCACTATTCATCCGAGCATCAAACTAAATTCGGACTGAATGGCGTCCGAAACTGTTTGAAGAATCATTCTCGCATGCAACGCATCTAAAAATCCAGTTTCGCCATGGACAGTGGCACCCACCTTCGGCTCGGAGCGACTAATCCTTCCGGACAAGCTTCTAGTTCTCAGGACGCTAGCTATGAAGGGTTATGACTGGGGTATAACATGGCAGCATGTTTATTGGAATTGATTCGTAGATTGCACACATATCCAGCGTATCCAATTATGATGAGCGGGCTCTCGCGTTATCATTTAATTGGGGGAAAACATCGATGTACAGATAGAATCACGGTTGAAATGCGTTCCCATTTGCGATTCACCACTCACCACGTACCTATACGGCCTAACGATTGCGCTCAACTTCGGTCGGAAGCACTCAAAAAATGCCCCTTTTGACGTTCCCCAGATGCGGTTTTGGTGGCATCCTCTCGACGCACATCACCTACCCATCACGTTGGCTAGCCATTCATACCGTAGCTCAACACAATTGCAAAGACGAAAGGCATACATATTCAGGTTTCGTCGCTATACTCCCATCCTTCGTCCCGCTTCCGTTCTTAGGCTGTCCACCTACATCTTATGGTCACACGTCCCCACATTGCGAGGGATCAGTCATATCAAGGAGCAAATTTGAAAGGAGGAAGAGATGTGCAATCGCAAGTAAACCGATGTAAATCCATGAATTACTGTTGTCACCTTCAGTGACTCGGATGTATGTGCATCCCATAAGCTGAGCACAATCCCCACAACACTTCAATCTTTATTCGAGGGGCTGTACGGTCTCACCCTTCACCCGCAGTGTTGGCGCTACATCTTCCTGTACGCCGCACGACACCAGAGACCCATCGCCACCAACAAGATTAGCAAACTAATGTTACATATATACGCTTCGGGGACTCTCCACAATTCTAAAAAGCGTTGCAGCGCAAAAGTCGTCAAGCTCATAACCGAGAGAGTGACAAGCAATAAAGAGTGCGCTGGTAAATGCTAAACAACTTGGCTAATGTCCACAACAATTGGGGCCCGCAAATCTCCCTGGACCAGAAATCGAGTCCCATCCCTGCTTGATTGAGGGCGGACAAGTGCCAGGGGGTCATGTGGCACTCGGTGACCGTACCAGGCTTCCTGCAAATCAGTCGGTTGATATTCCGTTGGGAGCACAAGTTCAACTCTGCCATTAAGCCACAAAGACAAATGGGGGAATGATACACTGATCAGTGGGGTTCTCGTTGCGGCTGGAAAACGGTAAAGCTGAACCCTTTTTTCCGAGTCACTTGGCGAGAGGTCGTAAAATGGGCGCTTAATCCAGGACTCATCAGAGTCATGCCCCGCATCCGTGTCGGAATGGTGTGCACGAGCTGTGTCGCCTTCTGCCAGGGGGAGGGTGGCTCGGGTGGGTGTAGGATCGGGAGGATTAATAATCCAATATTCGAGGTTTGTCACCCGATAACCCGCAATGCACTGGCATGATTCCGTTGACCAGGTAGCAGCGTGGGTCCCATCAAAAGCACCAACATAACGTGCTCCTGGAGAGAAACCAAGCGTCCGACGGTGAGGAATCATAATATCGAATCGAGAAAGGAAGGAGAAAGGAGAGGCCAGAGGTTGAATGGATGGGACCTCCGAAACAGATATGAGCGTCATGTTGTCGTACCAAGGGTTGTCGAGATTCCGTGGGACTCGCACGACAAATAATCCGTTATCTGAGACTGTGGTTCCAGCTGGATAGGAACCGGTGAGAAGAGTGCCAAGATTCACAGGGGGCACACCATCGCTAAGGATTGTTACATTCCCATCCTTATCCTCAGTGGCGAGTCGGTGGCTGCCGTGAACAAATTCGATCCAGACCGGGAGATTGGCTGGACTGCGCTGCAATCGGCAGATTGTGCGCTGGTGGTTGATATCGGTCACTTCGATAATTCCGCTGCCAAATCCAAGAGCAACATAGCAACCATCGAGGGAGAGTGCAGCACATGTCACGATGCCATTGCGAACATCGGGTTCATGGAGTTCATCTTCATAATTGATTACCTCACCTCCCCGTTCATTGAACACCTCTGGTAGTTCACTCAACTTTGCCTGCATAACCTCTTGGGCGCTGAGCAAATCCTCGCTTAATGGAATGGTGCCACCAGGGAACTCGCCGAAAGCGGAGAAGATCCGAACAGGGTCAGCGAGATGGCCATATTGTTTGTAAAGGGACGATGGCGGTGGGGTGAAAGGTAGTTTCGATCGATAGAGATGCCATGGTTCGTGTGCGGCAGTGTAAGCTACCTCCTCTAAACCTCTCAGGAGTTGGATGAAATGGTGATTCTATCAAAAATGACATCAGAAAAGTACCGGATGAATAGTTTAGACTTACATTGAATTGAAGTAATTCTTTGGGAAATAAAGCACCTCCAGACCATTGCAAGTGCATGAAAGTCAAGATGTATTTTTGCGCGATGAAGGAATTAAACTCGTTCTGCAATTCATTGGGCTCTTGTGCGAAAAGTTGCAAAGGGTCCCAGTGCCAGGTTAAGTATCCAATAACATAGGAGAAGCGCTCATAGTCATGGATCTTTTTCACCATAAATTCCTTCCAAATTCTTTCATCTCCTAAAGGCGGATTCATAGGGATTCCGAATGCATCCTGCTCACAATAATTGTTGAAGAGTCGAAGGAGCGGCAATCCAATGAAATACCCTTTCACATCATCGATAAAGAATACTTTGTCCTTCTCATCGCCAATTGGTTCCCCTGTGATGAATTCTTTTACTGTTGCATGATATAAGGCGACATCCTCTACATCCCCTAAGGGAAGATTGACGATGGAGCTGATTGGTTCCAATGTCGCGCGAATCTCGTCTTCCCCAATCTTGAAAAGCTGTGACATAAAAGAGACGTTCATCGGCCTGCGTGCCACAACAATCGCACCAACCACTAAGCGATACTTCTTGGCTACATCTGGGTGAATACCGGATGAATCCATCATGTAGGCTTGTCGAAGAATTCGTAAGTACTCCCAGTTGAGGTTGGCAGGTGCATTGGGGAGGTTTAGCAACTCCCGGAACACCAACCGAAAGGTGCGGCCCCGCCGTGTCTGCACACTGACATCACGAACCCGGATAGACGCTATAATGGGCAACCCACGACAAGCCCGAGCGAAAGCATCGAGCTCCTCTTTATTTGGTTTCCATGAATATTTGTCAAAGAGGTGCTGAAGGCCTTTTTCCACCATACGGCGGACCATCTGGAAAGCTTCTTCCTCTGCGACCTTGTCCACATCTTCACATAGTACGACATGACCCTTGGCCCGAGCTTCATCCCAAGCTGAAATGACTTCTGGCTCAGGACGAGAACTAACTAGCACAGAAAATATCGGTGGCAGCTCCTGAAAGGCAAGCACTAGTTCCATCAGGGACCCAAGTCTCTCCTGATCCCCGCACTCATCAACGCCATCCAGGACGATAACGATGCGGTCCTTTCCCGAAGACCACATATTCTTCAAGTCACGCATCGGCTCAATCATCAGAGTATTGATTTGTTTGTCCAGGGGGAGATCCTGAACAAAGACCAAATCTGATTGCCGAAGGCGTCTGACAAGCGACAATTTGAAGTCCTCATTGAAGGATGCAAGTTGGCAAGCAAGGGTAGAGGGGAACAGTCCGATAGAATCCAAGCCCGTTCCTGCTTGGTTCTTATCCCAAAAGAATGACGCAGCCAGCATACCCTGCTCCTTAAGAGTGGATGCAACACTCATAGATATCGCAGTCTTGCCCGTTCCAGGAGATCCCCGTAGCCAAACGAATCGATCCCCAGCTCCCATCAGGTGCTTGAGTAGGGATTCTTGAATCTTATCCCGCGTGCCTGGTAGGCACTTTGATTTGCTTTTCACATAAATGTGCTCGGCCGGGGCTCGCTTGAGTTTCGATATTTCGGCTGGGAACATGAGTGATTAGAAAATTCATCAGTATCTATGCAGACACGTACATTGGACTGATGCGTGCTCGGCACGAAGCAGAATTAAAGTCGATATTCTTAGCTATGGCGGACATGATTATTAAGGATTTAATCGTTCAAACAATCCTCAAGCATGCAAACCTGGAATCGAAGAATAGAATCGTTTAGGTAACTCTTCATATTCGTTATTTGCTGTGTTATATCAGGCGCTTGAATGGTCCTCTTGACAACATGCTTTTTCTGGACTAATTCAATGTTCTCTACTTGTGTTTGCAACTCGCTAGGAAGAGAATGAGTGAATGTAAATGAGAGGAGGACGAGATCCGTACGCGCGGAATTCCTGCACTAGGGTCTTTAGCTCAGGAGGAGTTTCTCCAGTCCATTTCTGGAGGGGCTCAACCACCGATTTTTGTGCTTGCTGAATCACGATGCATAACTGGTTGAGTTCCTCGGTGTTGCCACTGACATTCTATATGTATGCATCAGGTATGAAGGCGATCAAGATCAAGATCATCGAGACGATTCACAAACCTCATAGATTTGAATAAATCTCAAAAGCGTGTTTGGGATCTGATCAAGATTAGCAATGGGAGCGAACTTGAGGCCGGCGGCCGCAGTTTCGAGAAGTAGTTTGGTGGTGCCGATGATCGTTTGCTTCAGATCGCCATCGGATCTACGAGGTACTGATTCCGCTGGCACCGATGAAGTAGCTGGGACTGACGATCCAGGTTCTTGCTGCATGTGGATGCTCGGGTCATCGTTACCAGTGGCAATTGCGTTGTCCATCACTCGTGGGTTCACTTCGGCAGGAGGGGACAGCGATGGCCGTGAGTCGTCCGTGAATGTCTGGATGGGAGCAGTCGGCATAGAATGTTTGGGTTGGGATACGCTTGATTGGTTGCGACGACTGGAAGCGGGGTTAGGACTGGGACTCCTCCGGAATAGCCCAAGTAGTCTGTCTCGAGACGATGTCCGTTGCTGCATGGTATGATCCTGCAAGGTGCCACCAGGAAGTAAAAGAGTGGGCGCTGTAGTATTAAGGGTGCCAGAATGCAGTCCTGCGGGGCTGCGGTGGTGTTTGTCGTTCCTTCTGTCATATGCGGCGGCAGGCCCGATGATCTGGTTGTTGGAGGGAGGGGGGGTTGAGACCTGTGACCGATCGTCAGAAGACTCAGAAGGGTGCCGCGTCTTCTTGAACCAGGAGGGAAAGCGATGAGATTTAGGATCAGTGGGCATGGTGTCGGTGTGGCTAGCGATCAGAACGGTGTGCGTTCAAGAAGGAGTTTGGGAGAAGGTTGCCCAGTTACTCTTGTATCATATATGCGTCGACTCGCCTTAATAGGTATTAGTGAGGCAACGTGGACCCCTCCCTAACAGGGAAATAACCACGCACCTGCCTGGACCTGATACACAGCGGAAGTGTTTAAGCTACTCCATAGAGATGGAGTGAACCAAGTCCAAAGGCAGCATTGCGCACTCGAATACAGTGTAGGGATGCACGCATGTAACACTGAGCCCTCAGCCTGGACCATTCAACGCGTGCTTCCACCCAAGAATGGGAGTCGGTGTGAAATAGCATATACATACCCAACGGCGTGAGACAAACGGTGACCATTCGGGAAGCCGAGTATTCATTGAATTGGCTTCTCAATCGAAAGCGATAAATAAATCCATGGCTCAGGCCTCCTTGCTTGCAAACAAAGGACATTCAACATGCAAATGCGTGCCCGCTTGACGTGAAATGGAGAAATCGTCCCGGTGGGCGTGGAGGTCTAAGCCAGTCACAAGTAGGATGGAATAGAGCAAGACGGCATTGCGAAGTCGCGTACAGGACCTAATCATTTTCCTTGCCGACTGCATAGTAATGCACACGCATAACGTCGAGCCCTCAACCAGCCTGGGTCATGAAACGTGCGCTTCTATTTCCGCGGAGCAGAGTATGTAACGGTATATGTGTAGAGGGGAAATCAGTCTCAGACAATAATGAGCAAGACAAATTTAAGCGGTTTTGGGTTGAAACGGCAAGTCGTTGGTTTTTTTTTTTGACATTCACATGATCCCGACGTTGCGGAACTTCCCATATGCATGATGCTGCTCGCCATGCAGTCTCCAACTCCCGCGAGGGACACCTCACAGGTGCAGTTCGGCGCGTCTCCAATCTACAAGAGTGGTTTTTTTGTTCACCAACACTGGCCCCACTGCCTAGAGTCATGCGATCATTCCGGCTGACCAGCCACTTTCATCCCAACATTTTATCCTTGTGGCCATAATTAAGTCTGAGGAGAGCGGCCCTAGAACGTCCGTACACCCCATTGTTTGGGGTAAACAAAAGAATGGTAAAATGTTTTTCTGGATTAAGCGGTACATTTCAGAAGAGTTGGTGACACTGTCGAAATTCGCGGTCCAGTTCCCACCTTGAGTTTGGCAAAGGAATTGGGATGAAATTGTCACGGTAGGTAGTTAAGTACCTTTTCTCGCAGACAGTGGATGTCTGAGGCTGGGTCATGCTGTGAATCTCAGGCTACATAGATCTCTGATGCTGGTCTTCCAGCTGCTTCACCTCTTTCCGCGGAGGCGGTTCAGGTAAAGCGATTACCAAGCCACGCATCACTTTCCTTCATGCTTCTCCTAATCCTGAAGTACTCCCGCCACATATTATTCTCTCAACACTCCGACCTCTTGAACAGTCTCACTGGCATGCAGGTGCTTTGACCCTCAAACCCTTGCTCGATGGTCCACATCCGTCCTCTTCTGTGTAAGGCGGTACCTCATCCAAGCCTTTACATATCGGCCAGATGACAAAGCAAGATTCATTGCCACATTGGATGAATGTGGGCTTTAGGGACGCCCACACCGTCTAGAAGCTCTCTTCTTTCTTGATCAAATCCCTCCCCATAGGTGTCGCACCCCTCTCACGTCGCCACTTCGTCGTCTCTATAGCTGTCCGTTGTTATTAGTCTCTGGTCTGGAACTGTGGTCCAGTCACTCACTGAGATTGCATACATCATCAACTTACCCCAGGATGATTAATGCATCGCTGTTGTCCCCATGAGCGATCTCACATCGGGCCCAGTAAGAGGCGCGCTAGGGGTACCCGGGTTCACTGCTAGTCAGGTTAGAAAGTTTTGGAGATAGGTCTTGTCTGTACGTCATCATGCAGGCGGTTGGCATGTATGGGGCTCTGGATTCCCGCATTGCTTCTCCGGTTCCTACTGTTCTTCAGTGGTATGAACGTTCAGTTTGAACCATCCATGGCGTCTCCCCCGTTTTGATTGCCATCTCAAGAGATGTTTCGCCATAGCTAGCGTACATTTGAGAATTATCTCTCAATTTAGCCTTTGCCTTATTTAATGCGACAGTGATCAAGGAACACTAGGTGCGCGCTCATCTCCAAACCATAACTCGAAACCTCCTATGCGACCAACCCACCGGCCAACCGAGGTCAACATCACCTGAGATCTCTTCTCAGGGGACGCTGCGCTGTGGAAGTCATCGATGGCGCCTCATCCCTGGACAAGCCCGTAGTCGGGTGTACTCCAAATGGAGGGCCCAGAAGGTGAGGAAGAAAAAGTAGCCATCCATTGTAATTCATCAACTCCATCCTCTTGGCTGACTTGCGCTTGAATAAGGGATATAATGGGTAAATAACAGGTCGGTGGTAGAACCGCTGAGGGCATGTTGCCGTTGGGCGCAGTGCGTGTAAACAAAACAACACCTGTGCACTAATTGCCATGCGCTCCGCGATTGTGCTTTCTAGAACTTGCAATACTACCGCAAATGCGGTGGCTGTGTCAGACGCACCAGGTTATCACGCTGCTCTGGCACCCTCTAAGGATGGAATCTAAACAGAGTCATCGTTGGGCGAAAAAGCGGTCCTCTGCGCACGATAAGTAACAATATAGATGCCCATCCGGCTGGCGCAGTCAAAATGTTAAGATAAATTTTCTCCAATAATACATATACAAACTCGGAAACCTTGAAGAGTCGAGTGTGTCTATGAATCTCCAAGCGGTAAACCATATTGTACAGTAACGAAGAGCAAGCAAATACCGGTATGGGTGAAAAGCGTTGAAACAAGTTGCCCGATCATCAACCCCAAGAATGGAGTGGTTGTGCCATCGCCAGCCACGGGAACAACAGCGTTTGAACTCCTGATATAGAAACCGCGCTGAATAGAGGTAATACCGAGACCGGCTGGGGTGCCAAAAGCTGCAGGTGCGGCGTGGAGGAATGTGAGAAGGAACTCAGCAAATTGAAATGACGTTGAGACAATGAGGTTCCGCATGGAGTACCCTCCTAACAGGAAGACTATTACTGATCATGCCATCATCCATTGATCCGCTGGGTGGTTATCACAATTCGGAGCTCAGGAACGATGCCCGCTTGTCCCGTCTGGCAAGAATGTAGCCGATTTAATGCATAGGTTACAGTGGCAATGACAGGATACTTACTCACCAATGGCGCATCCTTCTACGCGTCTCAGGAGACCAATACGGATCATCAGCGGATACACTAAGGTCGCCTTCCATAGGAGGTAACCCTCCAGGTTCAGCAACAGTGTTGTTGAATACTCTACCATTTCCAAGGCCTTCTCTCACGAGTGTCGCGCGCATAGTGATAGGTAGGAGGGTACCAAAGGCTTGTGAAATAGTCCCAGCCGTCAAATCACTGGGCAAGCTGGTGCATGCGCAGGTTTAGGCCATTTGTGTTGCCGTACGACTTGGGCACTACAGCACCGGCGGTTGGGGCAACCCTCGAGGAGGCGTGGAGGCGTATTAATAGCGGAACTTATAGCTTCAGGAACAGGGCGATCCAAGGAGCGAAGAGACGGCGTCTGTAGAGAATCCTTTGAGCCCGCCTGTACGACAGACTGGAGAGTCTCGATGCGGCTTAGTAATAAGTGGCCTCAAGACGTCATCCCCCCCCTCATCAGCGTCTGGGCCCTCAGAAGTAGCCAGATCCGATGAGCAAGCAGGCTTTTTAGTGTCTAGACATTTTGAAACTGTGAACGAACGAAACCCGGAGATTGGGGGACAGTGCAGCATCTAAACCCGACGATGGAGATGCCTTGAATCTGCTTCAGGACAGCTCATCTAGTGCCGGAAAGCTCTCATCAATAACGGGTTCAAATTGAGCAACAGCGGGGGTTACATACACTTGCGCCACATGGACAATATATAGCTCCACTACTGTATTCCGACGTCCCCTTTTTATGGTGTTCATTTATCACGCTCTACCGATTAGCGCGCTACTTCATTCGATTCAGGAAAATCGACAAAACTGAATTGTTTCAGCCGAGAACCACGGTCGCGAAGCGAGTCCATTCCAGAGTTGATTACTATTTCTCCTTATGTAGAGTGAAAGAAAGCCGATCAGTAAATAGTAATGTCCAGATGTAGGGCCATATACTGGCCGAGGCGGTGACTAGTGGAAGCGCTGCCCGGCGCAGGTTCTGGGTCACAATACGCGATCATACAGTGCGGGTTACCGTAGAGCGCACCTGGAACCAAGGACAAGTAGGGCACAGCGTGATGATAGTGGGAAGGGTTGTTTGTGCCCCAACTGGCGCCCTTTCCCATCGCCATGCGTGCAAATTCCTTCAACCGACATTCCTTGGGTCCAAGTCGAGCCAGGGAGGAAACCCATAAGTCCGTCGTCTGCTTTGGGTCATAGATTCACTTCACCAACGACGCATGCAGATACCCTAAGAATAGGAAAACATTATGGCCAGAGAATAGTATAAACTAAATCCCCCAGGCAAGACGATGGATGATAGAATCGGCAGCGACATATAGAATCGGACGTGTGGCAACGGTCGCTCTATGGATGGGTTTGATTGCGAAGTCGATCCATGAGTGAGGAGCGAATAAAGAATAGTTGCGCACACTGTAAAGCTTCAGGCAGTTGCAACCTGGCCAGAAAACAGAGGGAAGGTGTGAGCGAGATGTTGTGGGTATCAGAAGCAAATTAAAAGATGACGTTAGCTGCCGGGATTAGTTGGCGGGAATGGCAGGGAGTCTGTGCGTGTCCTCGGCTCTCGGAGTCAGCTTGTCCGAGCGACGGATTCAGAATTGTCTGCTTCGAACTGCGACAGGCTGGGTTGGGCAATGAAGATGGAATGTGTTGAAAAACAAGGTTACGCCAGCGAGGGTAGGTGATGGAAGTAGACCGCTAAGTTTATTAACCTGATGTAAATAACCGTAAATACACGATTTGAGCTTGACTTCCAACAGAATGTTGGGGGATCACAAGATCCAAGCACTCCAGTGTGAACAAGAAGAGAAACAGGAGGTTGGAATTGATATGCTCAAGGTACTTTAGATAATCGGTGGAGTTGGAAGACTTTGTTTAGTCGGTGGCGTAAATGCAATTACCAATTGATTATATAAGCTCTTCTCCAAGCTGTGGTCTTGGACCATTTATGATTTCACTCCACCTACACACTGGCATGTTGGATCGACTAAATCATCTCGCGTTCTTTTCAGCTTGAATTTCAAATGCTCCATATTTTCAAGAGTGGTTGCATCCTACCGGCAACTCTTCTCTCTCAAAGCATGCATGATTGAGCACTGATAGCATGAGGATGGCTGTTCTCCTATATCACCCTGGATTGACCTTGATCAATAGGGTGGGATGGACATGGGAATTGCACTGTGCACTCTTGAACAGACCAAAATTCAAGATGGCAGGAGTTTCTCGATGGCTCCAGCTTTTGTTCCTTCACCGCTGCTCTAACCAGCACGTTACCATCGATATCACATCCCCCTTTCCATTCCGGTGGCCAGTAACATGCCTCAGCCTTTCAGCCTGTCGGGTCCAGGAATCCATGTGCAGGTATGCTCAGGACATTCAGTAAATACTCAACAGACAATATCTAGTGAAAGGTCTTGGTGCCAAATTGTTCGCCACGCACCGTCACTGGAGATTCTGGGACTTATGGTCCTTTGAATTGCTCATTGTACTGAAGTTGTGCACTGGGCAGCAAGTCGTCAGCATGTGGTAAGTTCTCCATCTTCATTTGAGCTGAGTATGAACCTATCATTCGCTATTGATCTGAGCATCAATCTAAATGATGTCCGCAACTGTTTGAAGAACCATTCTCACATGCAATGCATCTGAAAATCCAGTTGCACCTGTTTTCGCCATGGGCAGTGGCACTGCCTCCCCATGTCTTCCACTTGGAATGAGTGATCCTTCAGGATGAGCTTCTAGCTCTCGGGACGCTGGCTATGAAGGGATATACTGGGGTATAACGTTTATCGGAACTGATTGGTGGGTTGCACATGTATCCAACATATCCAATTTGGTGAGTTGGCTCTCACCGTGTCCTTGGCTTGTCATTTGGGGGAAATATCACTGATGTGCAGATAGAAGTATGGTTGAAATGTGTTCCCATTTGCGATGGATCACTCACCACATACCTATACGGCCTGACAACTGGCACCAGGATCCCCCATTCGATGGCGTTTCCCAGATGCGATTCTAGTGGCATCCTCTCGATGCACATCACCTCCCCATCAAGTTGGCTAGTCATTCGTATCGTACAAAGGATCTTTCCTCATGTTCCCATCCTTCATCCCGCCTCCGTCTTGTGTCCCTTAGGTAGTTGTACTATGTTGTCCCCCTACATCTTATGATCACACATACCTATATTGTGATGGGGTCATATCAAGAAGCAAATTTGAGAGGAAGAGATAAGGATGCATGATACAAATCCATGAATCACTGTTGTTTCTTTCAGTGGCTCGGATGTGTGTGCATCCCATAAGCTGAGCACAAGCCCGCAATAATCTTTATTCAAGAAGCTGTACGGTCCTACTTATTTTCCCCTCACCTGCAGTTTGGGCACTATGTCTTCCTGTACTCCACATGATACCAGAGACCCATCCCCACCAACAATATTGTATACATTACCAAACTTAACATTACAGAATATACACTTCGGGGACTCTCCACAATTCTAAACAGCGTTGCAGCACACAAGTCATCAAGCTTATAGCCAAGAGAGTGACGAGTAAGCAATAAAGAGCACGCTCGTAGATGCTAAACAACTTGGCTAATGTCCATGACAATTGGGGCCTGTAACTCTCCCTGGACCAGAAACCAAGTTCCATCCCTGCTGGACTGAGGGTGGTAAAGGCTCAGAGGATCATATGGCACTCGATGACCATACCAGGCTTGCTGGGAATGGATCAGTTTATATTCCGATGGGAGCATGAGTTCATCTCTGCCATTGAACCACAAAGATCCAAAATGGATTTGTGGGGTTCTCGTTGCAGCACGCAAATTGAAAGGCATTGAGAAGTTCGGCAAGAGGGAGAGGTCGTAAAATGGGTGCTTGATCCAAGACTCATCAGAGTCATGCCCCACATTTGCGTTGGAATGATGCACACAAGCTGTGTTGCCTTCTGCCAGAAGAGTGGCTCGAGTGAATATAGGTTCAGGGATGAGATATGGGTGTATCGGAGGGACATTAGGATTAATCATCCAATGTTCGAAGTTTGTCACCTGATAACCCGCAGTGCACTGGCACGATTCCATTGACCAAGTAATGGCCTGGGTCCCATCAAAAGCACCTACATAACGTGCTCCTGGAGAGAAACCAAGCATCCGACGGTGTGGAACAGTCAAACCCATATTTTTGTTATTTTTGGATTGGGGAGGAGGAGAGAAAGGAGGAGAGGAAAGAGGCTGAATGGATGGAACCTCTGAAACAGATATGAGCATCATGTTGTTGTACCAAGGGCTGTTGGGATTTCGTGGGACTTGCACAACAAACAATCTGTTATCTGAGGCTATGGTTCCAGCTGAATTGGGACCAGTGGGAAGAGTGCCAATGTTACAGGAATGGGTTCCGGGGAACCCAACCTGAGCCGTTCGGCTCACTAATGGAGGTGGCTGCGTAGCCATCGGAGGGAGAGCGGAATAGGATGAGTGTACGGAAGTACAACCTGTGTGTCGGCCAACGGTAACTTGGCGCTCCTGGGAGCATACCGGTAGCGAGTATGATGTGGGCTCCTTGAGGGAGCCACCTGGCTGTCTGCTAACGGGGACTTGGCGCTCCTGGGAGCGTGCCGGTAGCGGGTGTGCTGGGAGTGTTTGGCTAACAGTGACTTGGCGCTCAATGGAGCGTACCGGTAGTGAGGGATACTGGGACTCCCAAAGGGAGTCACCCAGTTGGTGGCTATCGGTGACTTGGCGCTCATGGGAGCGTACCGGTAGCGGGAGTTGTTGGGGAAAGTGGGCTGGTGGACCAGTGCACGGTAGTGGGTGACCGTGGGAAGTGGGACCCACGGGTGCGTGGCCAGGCATCCTGGAGCTGCCTGGACCGTATCCTTCTCCTGAGGAGGTGGGATAGGCTACAGTTCCTGATAGGGAACTTCTGGTTGGATGGGAGTAACCACTCAACCACCCGGTGGACTGGTGGGAGCGGGCAGCAGGAGGTTGGGCATGGGAATGCCCTCCTCGTTGCGGTTTTGTCATGGAGAGGAGGAATAGGGAGGTGGACATGGTTCCAGGGTTACAGGTTGAGTTTACAGTGGTGACACAATGGTGAGGATGTTACAATCATGGTACAAGGTTTGTGGGTTATGTATTTGATAATCAGAAAACATTTTCGGCATCTGCCTTACACATCATATGACTTCTAACTATCTAATATAAAAGTTATAATGGTCAAGGGAAGTCCCTTGAAACTCAACAAATCCCCCAGCCAGCACCAAAACCCGGTGGGAAAGCTTGGCATGGGGTTTGATGGAGAAGTAAAATGGGGGGAGGCCCTGGGTCCACCCACGGACCATAAGATTCTAGTCTATATCCATAACAGCCAAGGTTCAGAGGGACCATACCATCACCAAAGATTGTTACATTCCCTTTGTTATCTTCAGTGACAACCCAGTGGCTGCCATGGACAAATTCAATCCAGGCTGGGAGATTGGCTGGATCATGCTGCAATCAACAGATTGTGCACTGGTGGTCAATATCAGCCACTTCGATAATTCCACTGCCAAATCCGAGTGCAATATAGCAACCATCAAGGGAGAGTGCAGCACATGTCATGATACCATTGTGAACATCAGGTTCATGGAATTCAGCCTCATAGGTATGTTTCCATTTATTGGTTGCTGCTGGTAGTTCACTCAACTTTGCCTGCATGACTTCTTGGGCAATGAGCAGATCCTTGCTTAATGGAATGGTGCCTCCAGAGAACTTGCTGAAGGCAGAGAAGGTCCGGACAGGATCGGCAAGGTAACCATATTGTTTGTAAAGGGATGACAAGGGTGGGGCGAAAGGAAGCTCTGATCGATAGAGTTTCCATGGTGTATCTGCAGCAGTTTTGGATATCTCATGTAAATCTCTCAGGAGGTGACTTGAATGGTGATTCTATCAAAAATGACATCAGAAAAGTACCTGAGGAATTGTTTATACTCACATTGAATTGAAGTAATTCAGCAGGAAATAAAGTGCCTCCAGAATATTGCAAGTGCATAAAAGTCAAGATGTGTTTTTGTGTGATGAAGGAATTAAACTCATTCTGCAATTCATTGGACTCTTGCAAAAAAAGTTGCAAAGGGTCCAAGTGCTGGGTTAAGTAATCAATAACATAGGAGTAGCGCCCCCAATATTCCTTCTGGTTCATCATAAATTCGTCCCATATTCCTTCGTCTCCTAAAGGGGGTTTGGTAGGTATTCTGAATGCATCCTGCTCACAATAATTGTTGAAGAGTTGAAGGAGCGGCAATCCAAGGAAATACCCTTTTGCATCATCAATGAAGAATACTTTGTCCTTCTCATCGCCAATTGGTTCCCCCATGATGAATTCTTTTGCCGTTGCGTGATACAAGGTGACTTTCACTGCGTTTTCTGAGGGAAGCTTGATGATGGAGCTGATTGGTCCCAATGTCACACGGATCTCATCTTTGTCAATCTTGAAAAGCTGTGAGATAAAAGAGATGGTCATCGGTTCATGTGCCCCAATAATCGTGCCAACCGCTAAGCGATACTTCTTGGCTACATCTGGGTGAATATCAGATGAATCCACCATGTAGGCTTGTCGAAGAATTCGCAAGTACTCCCAGTTGAGGTTGGCAGGTGCATTGGTGAGGGTTAGCAACTTTTGGAACACTGACTGTAAGGTGCGGCCCTGCCATGTCTGCACACCGACATCACGAACCCAGATAGAAGCTATACTAGGCAACCGACGACAAGCCCAAGTGAAAGCATCAAGTTCTTCCTTGTCTGGTTTCCATGAATATTTGGCAAAGAGGTGCTGGAGGCCTTCTTCTACCATATGGTGGACTGTCTGGAAACCTTCCCACAATACAACCTTGTCCACATCTTCACATAGTATGACATGACCTTTGGTCCAAGCTTCATCCCAAGCTGAAATGACTTCTGGCTCAGGACGACAACTGACTAGCACAGAAAATACCGGTGGCAGCTCCTGAAGGGCAAGCACTAGTTCCATCAGCGACCCGAGTCTCTCCTGATCCCCGCACTCATCAACGCCATCCAGGACAATAACGATGTGATCATTTCCCGAAGACCACATATCCTTCAAGTCACGCATTGGCTCAATCACCAGAGTATTGATTTGTTTGTCCAGAGGAAGATCCTGAACAAAGACCAAATCAGGTTGCCGAAGACGTCTGACAAGCGACAATTTGAAGTCCTCATTGAAGGATGCAAGTTGGCAAGCAAGGGTAGAGGGGAACAGTTCGATAGAATCCAAGCCTGTTCCTGCTTGGTTCTTATCCCAAAAGAATGATGTGGCCAGCCTACCCTGCTCCTTCAGAGTGGATGCAACACTCATAGATATCGCAGTCTTCCCTGTTCCAGGAGATCCCCGTAGCCAAACGAATCAATTCCCAGCTTCCTTCAGGTGCTTGAGTAGGGATTCTTGGATCTTATCCCATGTACCTGGTAGGCACTCTGATTTGCTTTTCACATAAATGTGCTTGGCTGGGGCTCGCTTGAGTTTTGATATCTCGGCTGGGAACATGAGTGATTAGGAAATCCATAAGTATCTATGCAGACACGTACATTGAACCGATGCATGCTCAGCACGAAGCAGAATTAAAGTCGATATTCTTAGCTATGGCGGTGTAGGCGGGATAATCGCCCACACGCAGACCCAGCTCGGATATCCATTTTCACCATGCAAGAATCATCTTCATTCGTTCCATAAATCGATACAAACTTGGTACCTAAAAATACTCCTAATTCCTACGAATCCGTCGATGTCAAGATCGTCCCAATCGGTGGAGATTTGGTGGAGTTAAGTGTTGGGGAGGTTGGCCACGGCGCGGGTCACGGGATCTGGTCATGTGCGGGCGTGGGAAGTTCAATTTAGGCAAGCGGGAAGTCAGAAAAGCATGCTTCACACATTCCCAAGGCATCAAATAAATTGGGAAAAATGTTCTTTAGCCGCGTAAAGGTTATTCCCAGCCACATTTCCAGTTTCGGGTACTAATTTTGTGAAATCATTGATAAATTCCCGATTTTCCTCATATTTTCACATTTTTACCATCATTTTGATATATTGGATGATATTCTTTTATTCTTTTGATGCCCTTTTCAAATATTTCGCTTACGATGGGGTCCAGGAGCCATATGGCGCCAATATTTCCCATCAATCATTTCTAAAAATGTTTATTCTTTATAATCCTGTACATACCGGGATTGAAAAATTAAGTTCTCCCCTCCCCTAATTTCTCTAAGGCGCTAGGACGTGTCAGAGTTAGTGTGAGTGTGTTAGGAATTCCTACAGTAGGAGTAAGGGCAGTCGTCTAGCCCACAAAGAGTGGGTAGTGGACACTGAGCCCGGACCTTGCGGAATTTCCGGAGAATTTCCCGGAGTTTTAGGATCGAGGCCAGTGGAAAAAAAGGGTTTTTGTGGAGAGTTTCCCCCACGAGCTTGGTTGGCGCTGAGAGCCGCTATCTCTCTTGCAGCGGACATGATTATTCAATTATTCAAACAATCTTCAAACATGCAAACCTGGGATTGAAGAATAGAATCGTTTAGGTAACTCTTCATATTTGTTATTTGCTGTGTTATATCAGACACTTGAATGGTCCTCTTGACAACATGCTTTTTCTGGACTAATTCAATGTTCTCTACTTGTGTTTGCAACTCGCTAGGAAGTGAATGAGTGAATGTGAATGAGAGGAGGACGAGATCTGTATGCGCAGAATTCCTGCACTAGGGTCTTTAGCTCAGGAGAAGTTTCTCCAGTCCATTTCTGGAGGGGCTCAACCACCGATTTTTGTGCTTGCTGAATCACGATGCATAACTGGTTGAGTTCCTCAGTGTTGCCACTGACATTCTATATGTACGCATCAGGTATGAACGCGATCAAGATCAAGATCATCAAGGCAATTCACAAACCTCATAGGTTTGAATAAATCTCAAAAGGGTGTTTGGGATCTGATCAAGATTAGCGATGGGAGCGAACTTGAGACCAGCAGCCACAGTCTTGAGAAGTAGTTTGGTGGTGCCAATTATCGTTTTGTTCAGATCGCCATCGGACCTACAAGGTACTGATTCTGCTGGCACCGATGAAGTAGCTGGGACTGATGATCCAGGTTCTTGTTGCATGTGGACGCTCAGGTCATCATTACCAGTGGCAACTGCATTATCCATCACTCGTGGGTTCACTTCGGTGGGAGGGGACAGCGATGGCTGTGAGTCATACCTGGATGTCTGGATGGGAGCAGTTGGCATAGAATATTTGGATTGGCTGTGACAACTGGGAGCCGGGTTGGGACTGGGACTCCTCCGGAATAGCCTAAGTAGCTTGTTTCGAGAAGATGTCTGTTAGAATGGGCAGATTCGGACGACTCCGGAATGGAATCGGAGACTTAGCATGGAAGGACCTCGGCCTCAGCGACTCAGGTGGAGCGCTGTGCCATTGCTAGTTGTCCTGGGGGTCCCTAATTTCGGATCTAGCAGAGGGAAAGTCTCTTGGGAGGAATTCAAGTCGATTTCGGACTGAGGTTACAAGTTACTAGGTACATTGTATATAAGGAGGGGTCCGGAATCAAAAGGAACAAGGGTAGGACAAAAGGAGACAAAGGGAGATGGAAAGAGGAGCAACACCGAGGGTCAAGTGTTTGACTCAATGGTGTTTCCCAAAGGAGGAATGAAGGGCCAAGGCCCAAGAAGGAAGGAAGGAGGATGGGAGTCGGGAATGGCTAGCTGACTGAATAGAAGGAAGCAGCAGCCCAAATAGGAATGAGGGAGAATAGCGGAATTGAAATGGACAATGCAATAGTTGCAAGGTCCGGAGTAAGTCCGGAAAGTCCGAACTCGGAGGTTAAACTCCGGAATATTGGCAAACATAATTAAATGGAATGAGCTAACCAATACAATGGGTATAAGCGGAGGTGGAGTCAAAGTCCGAGGTCGGAGCTAAGACCGGAGGTTCCGGAGACGAGACGTGAATGGGATACCGGAGCGGAGGTCCGGAGTCGGGAGCATAGGTTTTGCATACTCGTCTGGAAGGTGTCGAGGTTGGGGTTGGACCCGGAATGTTCCGGAGTCGGACCGAAGGTGGTGTCCGAGCCGGAGGTGGGATAACCTCTTGGGAGTCGGCAAGGAGGAGGTGACGGTGAAGGAGAGAACGAAGGAAGGTCAGTTGGGAGGTTCAAACGAGACCACCACCAAGCTGTTCCCTGGTTCTTTAGTTAGGATGGGGAAGTGTACTAGTGTTATTTATTGTAAATAAAGTACCAATCCGAGTGTTTTGGCTAATTCTATTTTTATGGGTTAGTTTTAAAGTTCCTGGGAATTGACTTACAGATAAACCGAGCCCTGCAGAGCTGTTTCTTTATTGAAATTTATTAATTTGTCTAGGTGTAATTCTGTGTAGCGTTGTTTAATTTGGATTTAAACTTGAATTTAATCTTCTACTTGGTGAAGTTTCAAAGATTCTATTCAGTTAATGAATTTGGATGGTGTCTGGAGTGTCCCTTGAGTTCGTTTTATTTTTGTCTTTATTTTATCGCTTGTTTTAACAGTAGCAAAATAACTGTTTTGTGTTTACACTTTGAAATCTGGAGTGTTAACCAGCTCTCCTGTTGAAATATCTACTTAATATTTCTCTCCTTAATTGCTGCCTTTTACTACAGTGGCAATGTTCACTTTTTCGCACTGGAGTGACAACCAGAAATGCTTGAGAAAAATAATACTCTATTTTCTTACTTCTCTGAGGGGGGCGAAAAGTCGCAGAAAGGGTCTCCCTTTTATACTCCTTGGGTCGCCTTCCTTTTTCACGCTCTACCTTCTATTTACAGGATTTATTTACAGTGTATTTTTCTCAAACTGAATAAAAAGTGAAATTTTCACGCTATAGTTCCACTGCGCTTTGCTGCGCTGAACTGCGGCTCTACTGCGGTCAGACTGCGCCTGGAATCCTTATTGTCCTTCCTCGCCTAAGCTATTTTAATGGTTAATTGGAATTTGTCTGCGCCGCATTTGCCGCAGTTCCCTATTTCAAATTCCCCATATATACCATTAAATTTGCTATGACTCGATGACTCTGAATTCAAACTTCGCATTACTATGCGTACGGCTGTGCTGAGACCTTCAGCTGATTTATTCCATTTTTATTTAGTGACATTTAGTTAAAATGAGACTGAAATGGTAAATGAGTGAATTATTCAGGTTTGAAACTGAAAGAAAAAGTTGCTAGTAATCAAGAATTACTCAAACGAATGTGTTATAGCTCTCTACTTCATTAGAACATCGTTCCCTAAAATTCCCGCCATGGTCCGTCTTAGTTTAGTAGTTTTCGTGAATTTCGTTCATATTCCCTGATTCCCCTTTGTATTATCACATCCTAATCCTCCATATGTATTGTTCGTTGTTATAGTAGGTCGTCCTCGAAGATATCATATTTTTATGTATTTTATTTAGGGCTCTAGACCTCTTGAAGCTGTCTTCCCGTGTGTTTTCAGGTTTCTAACTTCATGTCCTTGTATCTCATTCATTTATGGATGTTTTCTCACGTTCTTGGTATCATAAATTTTCATTTATTCCCACCTTTCCAATGGTACTAAGGTTGTGTCCTATTTCCCTGTATTCGTTGAGTTAGCAAAGTTTCGCGCGCACATTCGGTAATCACGTGCGTCGTTCCCATAGTTGTTCGTATGCGGGAGCCGTTTTCGTTTAGTTGTTCGGGATTTATGATATGCGCGGGTGTTTATTTCTTTCATATGGGCTTCTGTGATTTATTTCAGATTTTTCCCTCATGATCTAAGGTTGTTTTGCACTTTTCGTGCTTTGTTTTGACCGGGCTCTTCCTTATTTGGACGGAAATTGGTCTTCGCGATCTGCCGAAGTGCGGATCTCGGTTCCGACGGCCGGTTCCCTGCGCATCGCCACCCTCACGTGTCATTACACATGATGCGGATTCCTATATTCCCGTCATGGGTATAACTTCACAACGGCTGGACCGTTTGGGCTGAGAATTTGCATAACTATAGTTTCCTATTTTTCATAATTTCCGTGTAAATTTCGTTGTATGTTTTAATTATGGATCCTACGCAATCATCGTCTTGTCCCTGAGCTCGGACTTTTGATGTCGCTATTCCCGTTATTGGATTTCTCATTAACGCATGATCCTTTTATTATGAAAATTTGGGAGGATTAAGAGTAGATCCTTTTCTTTCTAATGGGCTATCAAGCTTGTCTCGGTCGTTACTAGTTAATCTTCGCGCTTGCTTTTTAGACATTGTCCTCGTTTTGCAGGAGTTTTAGTCATATCTCCGTCGTTTATGGGTAGTTTCCCCTGTAATTACTCTCATTGGTTCCGTTTGGGTGACATCTACATTTCCTATTATAAACACGACTTTGACTTTTGCATTAGTTCCTGAGGAATCTTTGTTCCGTGGTACTTCCATCCTTGCTACATGTGCGGACGTGGGAAAGTAGTTTCCGTGGAGGTTCTCTGATTATTTTTATAGTCAAATCTTGGTCGATTGTCCTAATTCTTGGTTTAATATTTGCTATAAATTCCCCCGAGAATTCCGTCTCGTTGATGGTAAGCTTGAAGTATTTTTGTTATTTTTCTTTCTTTTGATTTATCGTGTATAGTCATAATAATTCGTAAAAATTCGTAAAATTCGTTAAAATTCAGGTCCTTCTATGTTCTCATATCTACTTGTCGTATGAGGTTTTGTGATTTATCTGGCATATTTCCATAATGGGTTTCCATAGTGTGGCCGTTATTTCTCCTACAACGGAAGGGAAGTAGGACTCCGGAAGTCGGAGTTCGGAGTTCCGGGAGCCCGGAGCGGAGGTCAGGATTGTATGGATATGACAATGTCCGTTGCTCTGTGGTATCATCCTGTAAGTCACCAGGAAGTAGAAGAGCAGGCGCTGTAGCAGTAAGGGTGCCAGAATGCAGTCCTGCGGGGCTTCCCTGGTCTTTGTCATTCCTTCTGTCATATGCAGTGGTGGGCCCGATGATCTGGTTGTTGGAGGAAGGGGGTGTTGAGACCTGCAACCGATTGACAGAAAGCTCAGAAGGGTGCCGCGTCTTCTTGAGCCAGGGGGGAAAGTGATGAGATTTAGGATCACTGGGCATGGTGTCAGTGTGGCTAGCGATCAGAACAATGTGCGTTTAAGGAGTTTGGGAGAAGGCCGCCTGGCTGCTCTCATATCATATATGTGTCGATTCGCCTTAGTGGATGTAACAGGTATTAGTAAGACAACGTGGACCTCTCCCTAGCATGGAAATAACCATGCACCTTCCTTGGACCTGATAAACAGCGTAAGCGTTTAAGCTACTCCGTAGAGATGGAGTGGACCAAGTCCAAAGGCAACATTGCACACTCGAATACAAGCCATCTTGTGTAGTGATGCATGCACGCATGTAACGCTGAGCCCTCAGCCTGGACCATGCAAATTCAATGCGCGCTTCCACCCAAAAATGGGAGTCGGTGTGAAATAGTATATACATACCCAACGGCGTATGAGGAATTTGGGCTGGAGTCTACAAGGGCTTCTGTAAGGCTGGTTGGGGTGCTGGCCTTGGTGACTCCTCAATCCTCAGGCTGTCGATAACATAGACTGTATGGAGCTAGTATTCAACAGGGGGGGAGGAGAAGAGCTGAGCCCCTTTTCCCAACCCCAGACACTATATATGTATATACAGTTGTTATACATTGTTTAGTCCGAAGATTATTATAGTATAAAGAATAAAAGGAAAGCGTGCAAAGTGCGCATCATCCATCCTCTATCCATTCCTTACAGCTTCCTTGATGAGGGAAAGGTCAAGGGAAGAATTGGTGAGGGGGGATTCAGTTGAGTTCATTTGATCCCGCTTTTGTCGCATTTATCCAATGTTCATCGGATTTTTCCGGACCTGCTGGTTTAGGCAACTCATGGCTTCAATGCCATAGTTGGCTGTGATAAGGCATTGATATCCATTGGTATCGGACCGGTAGGCGACGTTGTAAGCGTGCTAGGGATGTAACCCAGCAGCAAACAAGAAAAGAAAAAGGGGGCAAAGGAAATCTTACTACCGGTATGGCCGCACACAGTCCCGGTGCAAGTGCACGATACTAATAAATTCTTTTAAAACTCAGAACTCACCCTGGTCCTTCTTGGACAGTTGTCAGGGAGTCAGACTAAGCTCTTTAAACGTATGGGAGGGTCGCTCAACACCACAGTCTTTGTAGCACAGATGAGGGGTCCAACAACTGTAAGTACAACGCAAACTGGGTGTATATATAGAAAAAAGAGAAATCAGAACAAAAAAACAAGTAAAATAGCCGATGGATGGTGGCGATGGAAACAGGAAGAATGTTGAGAGCTCGGCTAAGAAACAATAAGGCAAAAAAAATGTCCACAAGGTAACAATAAAATCAATAATTGAGGCCCATAAGGTCAATATCAGCCATCAATCTCGCTTCTCCACCGCATATCCGTCATCCTAACTCCCGTCCCGTCCTTCCATCCTCTTCTCCTGATCCGTCGCTGTCCTTCAAGCTCAAAATCGTGTGAATTGGTGGAGAATTGGTGGAGATATGGGGGAAATGGTGGATATTCGTGAATTTTGGGGAAGTGGCAATATGAGTCTTGAGAAAAAAAGCATGGAAAAAATTGGAAAAAATGGGGAAATGTGCCGTGGGCATTGTGAATGTGTCGGAGGCTTGAGGGTGCTCGTTGGAGCCTCGAAAAACGTGGTTCTGGCCTTGTTTGTGTGGTACTTGCTGTGCCCTCCTACAACATTCACGCTGCAGTTGTGATGGCCTGCTAGATCTATTGTCCGGCATCTGATCCCGTTGTTGACGGTTCAGTTCCTCGATGTTCTCTACCCCTTGTACTATTAGGTAGTCATCCAATGCAACTAGATCGTTTGCATTGGCCAAGGGTTCCCAAGTAAGGTCACCAAGTCCCCATCGGACATGGAACCATAAAGACTTATTGTCATCCCACTGATGGTCAACAATTTCCTTAACCTGGTATTCCCATTCTGGGTTGTCGCCAAAATCGTAAAATACTTCTATGGCATGCCCAGGGAATAACACAGAGTCATTCAGCTCATGAGGTGCAAGCCATGAAATGTGGAACTTTGCAAAGATATTTCTTTGCATCAACACTGGGGGAAGCTTGAGGACATAGTTTGATGAGTCCTCAAATACCTCCAGTATTTTGTAAGGACCAATATAAGTTGGTGTCAGGGCACAACCCTCGACCCCACACACCCTCAGACACCCTTTCCCCATTTTCCCCCATTTTTCCCCCCCACTGTTCTGCAATGGTACAGGTAGGTGAACCCGTGGGAATGTTCTGGGTGAGCAACTTGCCCAGAAACCAGCACAGCCACAACTGTGGGAACGTTCTGGGCAAGCAGCTTGCCCAGAATCTTCCCATGGTACCTAATATGGAAACTCGGGAAAGACCCGACAACTGCACAGTTCCCAGGCTCCTTTTGTAGCAGCCTCACAGGGGGTTGAGAAGGTTACCCTTCTTCTCAACTCATTCCCTGTGAAGGCAGGTGTAATTACCTATTTCCTAATGCACACCAACTCATTCCCTGTGAAGCCCAGGGCAAGTATAGTCCTGCACCTCTGCAGGATCTTCAACACCTTCCAGTTCTTCTACAGGCTCCGAGTCCTGTAGGTCTCGCTTGTCAGATTTGATGGCTATGTTGTACATGCACGGTTTGGGCTTGTCATGATTTAGGCAATCACGTTGATACCTTACTTTCCCACATTTATAACAACATGGTTTCCCATCCTTATCCAAGGATGGCGTTGATTTCGTCGCTGTAGACAATGTCAACCTTTCTGTTTTTGGAGCCGGCGAATAGCTCGCATGGAAGGTTGAGCGTTGCCCCCTCTTCTGAGTTGACATGTTCTGTCATATCCATACAATCCCGACCTCTGCTCTGGGCTCCTGGAACTCTGAAACTGACTCCGGAGCCCTACTTCCCTTCTGTCACCTTCTCCTTGCCGACTTCCAAGAGGTTATCCCACCTCCGGCTCCGACACCACCTTCGGTCCGACTCCGGAACATTCCGGGTCCGACCCCAACCTCGACACCTTCCAGATGAGCATGCAACACCTATGCTCCCGACTCCGGACCTCTGCTCCGGAATCCCGTTTGTGTCTCTGTTTCCGGAACCTCCGGTCTCAGCTCCGACCTCGGACTTTGACCCCGCCTCCGCTGTTATAAAAATGGGGCCTAATTGGCCCATTTCTATAGCGTCCGGGTGCAGGAGGGGGCCGTGACATTGAGAAGATGTTACAATTAATGTAACAGATGCTGTAACAGTGGTGTTTACAATAACGTACAGAGGCCATAAGAGGCTAGAAATGGGAATTTCCCATTTCCATAACATCTGCTTATACCCATTGTATTGGTTAGCTCATTCCATTTAATTGCCTTTGCCAATATTCCGGAGTTTAACTTCCGAGTTCGGACTTTCCGGACTTACTCCGGACCTTGCAACTATTGCATTGTCCATTTAAATTCCGCTATTCTCCCTCATTCCTATTTGGGCTGCTGCTTCCTTCTATTCAGTCAGCTAGCCATTCCCGACTCCCATCCTCCTTCCATCCTCCTTGGGCCTTGGCCCTTCATTCCTCCTTTGGGAAACACCATTGAGTCAAACACTTGACCCTCGGTGTTGTTCCTCTTTCCATCTCCCTTTGTCTCCTTTTGTCCTACCCTTGTTCCTTTTGATTCCGGACCCCTCCTTATATACAATGTACCTAGTAACTTGTAACCTCAGTCCGAAATCGACCTGAATTCCCCCCAAGAGACTTTCCCTCTGCTAGATCCGAAATTAGGGACCCCCAGGACAACCAGCAATGGCACAGCACTCCGCATGAGTCGCTGAGGCCAAGGTCCTTCCACACTAAGTCTCCGATTCCGCTCCGGAGTCGTCTGAATCCGCAAGTTCTAACAGATGCAGAGATCACCTTAATTGAATCGTATGCATGGTCCAGGCAGAGCATGGTGTAGGAGAAATAACGGTCACCCTATGGAAACTCATTATGGAAATATGCCAGATAAATCACAAAAACCCCATATGACAAGTAGATATGAGAAAATAGAAGAACCTGAATTTTAATGAATTTTTACGAATTATTACGACTACATACGATAAATTGGAAGAAAGAAAATTATTAAAAATACTTCAAGCTTAGCATCAACAAGACGGAATTCTCGGTTGAATTTATAGCAAATATTAAACAAGGAATCATGACAATCGACCAAGATTTGACTATAAAAACAACCAGAGAACCTCCACGGAAACTACTTTCCCACACCTGCACACGTAGCTGAGGATGGAAGTACCATGGAACAAGGATTCCTTAGGAACCAATGCAAAATTCAAAGTCGTGTTTATAATAGGAAATGTAGATGTCTCCCTAACGAACCCAATGAAAGTAATCACAGGGAAAACTACCCATAAACAACGGAGACAAGGACAACGTCTAAAAGGCAAGCATGAAGAACAAGCAGTAACGACCAAGACGAGCTTGATAGCCCATTAGAAAGGAAGGGATCTAATCTTAATCCACCCCAATTTTCATAATAAGAGGTTCACACATCAATGAGATATTCAATAATGGGATGAGCGACATCAAAGTCATGGCTCAGGGAAAAAAACGACGTTCACAAAGGATCCATATTTAAAACACACAACGAAATTTACATGGAAATTATGAAAAATAGGAAACTATAGTTATGCAAAGTTTCAGCCCAAACGGTCCAGCCGTTGTGAAGTTACACCAACAACGGGAATATAGGAATCCACATCATGCTTAAAGACACATGAGGGTGGCGATGCGAATGGAACTGGCCATCGGAACTGAGATCCGCACTCCAGCAGATTGCAAAGACCAATTTCTGTCCAAAGAAGGAAGACCCCAGTCAAAACAAAGCACGGAAAGTACAAAACAACCTTAGATCATGAGGGAAAAATCTGAAATAAATCACGGAAGCCCATATGAAGGATACAAACACCTGCGCATACCATAAATCCCAAACAATTAAACAGAAACGGTGCCTGCATACGAACAACTATGGGAACGATGCACGTGATTACCGAATGCGCATGCAAACTTT